ACATGCAATACTGGGCAGAACTGGCAAAATATGAGGATGCAATTCCTGATAATTGAGATATTTTATTTCTCCTTAAGGCCAAGAGCAGACATTGATGATTTCTACAAATGTTCGTGAGAGGCCCTTAGTTTTGACCATAAATTGTTTTTCTATCCAGTAGAATTAAATTGAATTTGTATTCCTGTTGTATTATTTACACAAAGATACAAAATGAGTCATGTTACTGGACACACAGGATTAGTTTGCAGGTGTTGGTAGCATTGGTAAACATCATAGGCTACAATTTAATTAGGCTGCTGAGTGTACTCTGGGCTTTTTGTAAACTAGAGAGTTGCAATGTTTTAGCATTAGGTTACCAGGTATCAAATTTTTCATATTCACAAAGAACAAATGAAGGCAGGAAGATGATTAGTGTTGGAAGTAATCTATTAAGGAGAACCTCTGATACTGTGGTATGGTAGCAGTTATCAGGGTTACAGTTTAGGAAAATGGACTTTGAAGGTCCTTGGCTTAGGTATTATATAGTCTTTTGCTGAGGGACGTCTGATAAATATGCTGTAATATGTCATTCAATAACTTGGTGCAGTATGATGATTTTTTAAAACTACACTTTTGAGTTGTGAATTTTTAAGTCCACAGTCCATCTTAGATTTGAATAAGTCTGTTCTAGTGTAAGTCAATAATGATAATTATAATCTTTAAAAAATCCCATAGAATGGGAAGAAGGTATCAGTCTTTTGAGGTTGGAAGAGGAAATCTTTGCGAATGGCAGTTAGCCTGGCTAATGTATGAAGCTACGATACACAGTCTGGCTTCACACATTGCCCTAAGCAACAGGTTTGTTTTTTTTTAATCATGACTAAACTCTAGTGACTTTATTCACATAAAGTTCCAACAATTGCAGTTATGGAAAAATACAGTCATACCTCATGCGTACAGTGCAATATGCCATCCCTCTGTTTTTGCTTTTATAATGTCAGGTACAGCGAATGGGTGATGTAGGAAATGAAGTTATTTCTGCTTGCCTCTAGGTAATGCTGTGAAGTCCTCTAGTCAGAACATGATCATTGAAAAAAATATTTTCTGTGCTTTTCATTTAAAGAAAATTGTCATCCTCAACTGGTGTTTTCTGGATTTGCTGGGATTGCAACTGGAATTCTTAGCTAGCATCCTGCCTGGAGTACTAGGTGATATAATTCAAATTCATCTGGATGTCACTACATTGGAAAATTGACTGCAGGAGACAGGCCATCTTTAGTCAAATGGATGTTTATTTTTTGAAACCCAAAGATATTTGAAATTATCCCAAAGAGCTATGTGTAGAAGGCAGTTTTTAAGTATTGTCCATGTTTTTCTATTTCTGTCCTTTTCTTTTCCATGACAAAACAATTAACCAGTGGAACAACCTGCCTCCAGAAATTGTGAATGCTCCAACACTGGAAGTTTTTAAGAAGAGAAGGAGTAGGGGTGACATGATAGCAGTGTTCCAATATCTCAGGGGTTGCCACATAGAAGAGGGAATCAAGCTATTCTCCAAAGCACCTGAAGGCAGGACAAGAAGCAATGGATGGAAACTAATCAAGGAGAGAAGCAACCTAAAACTAAGGAGAAACTTCCTGACAGTTAGAACAATTAATCAGAGGAACAACCGGCCTCCAGAAACGGTGAATGCTCCAACACTGGAAGTTACTAAGAAGAGACTGGACAGCCATCTGTCCGAAATGGTGTAGGGTTTCCTGCCTGAGCAGGGGGTTGGACTCCAAGGTCCCTTCCAATATCATCATCTTCATCATCATCATCACCACTATTATTATTATTGTTGTTATTATTATTATTACTTCCAAGGTCCCTTCCAACTCTGTTATTCTATTCTATTCTAATTCCAGAAATCTGTACTGTAATTTTGTAGGAGGAGCAACTAGTAGATAGAGACAGAGATCTGATAGAGATCTGGACTCTGTATTCAGTTCATGGCCTGTCCCATCTGCAAAGAGTTTTTCATCCTGCTGTCTTATTTGGAGAATAAAAAAACTTTGAGAATATAAGTCTCCCTTAACAGCATTTTTATCAATTGCTTTGAAATTTTGAATGAAAGATGCCTATGCTTGCTCCAGTTGCCAGAAAAAGGAGATAAGAAAATAATTGCTACTGAGGATATCAATTTCAGAAAGGAAATCTGTCGTGTTTTGTAATTAATGGACTTTTGTGTATCACCTGCAAAAAGAATCAATGGGTGGGCAGAGATTTTCTAACCCATCCATTAATGCTGTGTACAAATGTTTGTCTTCAATATCTACATGTAATGTGACAGCAAGATTAAATAAAACTGCAATGAGTTCTAACAGAAAGAGTATGACACTCATGACAAGACAAATACTGTGAGGAGCCTGGCTTTCATGAGCATGAAGGAGTTAATCCTGGCAGGGTTTTCATGTACGTCAGAGAAAGGTTTCTGCCTGTGCAGCACTTAGCTTGGATTGAAAATTCTTGTTCCTTTTTTTTTTTTGTTGTCGTTAAGATTTCTTTGTGGTTGGCAGTTCTCCCTCTTTTTATATTACCTCCACCCTACCTCCGAGAAAATACACTAGGGCGACAATCATCTTTTATCTTCCAGTGTCTATCAAGTTTTTATCAAAGCTTGAAAAATATCACTCTGGGGAGGGGCGGGGGAGGGAATTACAATTTTTAATTCAAAGGAAAAAAATAAATATGCTTTTAATAAACACATTATATAAATGTCTAGTTTTCTGTGATATTTTAGGATCCCAAATACCAATTTTACTCAATTCAATTGAGGAGTTGTAGAGTGGTGATATTGTAAAAGACTCAGATGTCATTAAGAAACAGATCTAAATATTTAATACACATCTAATAATATATCTGCATGACAGTATTTGGGAATAAATAACCTGATACTTTGGATTCCAGTTCCCTTAGTTCTTTGTCATTAGTCATGAACATAGATGGACGAAATCTATTCAACATTGGACAAAGCTCGGAAAGATATGCATAGGGCAATTCTCTTCAGTTAATGTTTCCACTGTGAAATGGAATGATTCAGCTGATTTACAGTTCTTTCTACAAGTCATTTATTAATTTTGGGGTTTCTTCTGTGGCAGATTTAAAAAATAATTTCTAATTTTTGGTATTTCAGACTTCTTTGCAATCATGTTTTATTGTAGGTGTATAAGAAATAATGAGCTTAATATTCACTGCACAGTTTTTTCTCCAACTTATTGGTGTGTTTTCAAATAGGAACAGATCAATCCTTTAAAAAAGGCTGACATATTTTATTCTTAAAACTATAGTTGATTTAATTTGTGGATCAGCTAATTGCACTAAAACTCTGAAACATCTCTCTGAAACAGGGGTGTCAAACTGCCAGCCTGTGGGCCGGATGCGTAACGAGGAAACCGCGCCCACCCCATTGCCGGCAACGGGGGGAAAAGCTCAGATATATCGCGTGACATCACGTGACATCGGAAGTTTGACATTCTGCTCTGAAATGTTTATTTAAATTTATCAAGGAAAGGATTCATGAACTAGGATACCAGAGAAGGTGGGCACATTGGTATATCCTTTATATATAGTTAAAAATTAAACTTACCTACAGCTGAATAGTATAGTAAGGAAACTCACATCAAGGGGAACAAAAGGAACAATCAGTCAAATTAATGATTACTGGGCAGCTTCAAATGAATCATGAGATACTTGGGACCACACTAAGTATATCTTGTGTACCTAAGAAAGATTCCATGCGTATCACAAATTTATTATTGCCAAAAACCTGTGTAAAATATTCTCTGTTTGCACTTGTGTTTGTAAATTCAGAATGCAATAGTGAAACAGAGATGTGGAATGGACAACCTGTGATTCTAAGGCTGAAGGCAGTCCATGGCCTACTTTCAAAATCCTCTGAGGGTTAAGTTTAGATTTTTAATATGAGATACCTATCCCACTCCCCTTGCCTGCTGTACAGAGTGTCAAAAAGACAAAGAGAAAATGAGGTATTTGGTTTCTTCATCTACTTTAGCCCTGAGAAACTCGGCTCACCCCTGCTTAAAAATCAAAACAAAGAAACAATAACAAAATGGCGCACCCATATGTATGAAAATGAAATAGATACCTTTTTATGGTTTTCATTCAAGCAAGAGGTAGAAGCATTCTCCTATATTTAGCTATTGGAAGTAAGGGAACTGCCCATCCTGTTTTATGCAGGAGTATCTATTTTTAGGGTCTTAAAGAAAAAGTGATGCTAAAAATGGGTTCAAGCTGCCACCTGGAGGATTCCAGATGTGTTGGCAGCTATTTTCATCACAATCTGTTGTTCAACAGCTTAACTGATGGAGGGAGAGTAGTTGGGAGAATGAGAGTGCATGTTTTAAAGGAGGCATGTTGGTTAGGAAGACTTCAAGGAATGGCTACAGATTTGCAATATATTTTTTTCATAAAGATAGGTATTCAGCAATACTAATGTATTAATGTAGTGTATGTATATGTATACAAACACACATAAACTGTAATAACATTGATTTCTCCTCTGCAAAATACAGTATATGTGCATACTCCACTCATGTATGGGAATAAACCTGTAACTCACCCCACCCACTTCATCTTTTGTTATATCTTGCATTAAAGTCCTTTCCCCACATTTTATTTACAATTCTTCTCACATTTTATTTAAAACAGAGAATTAATTTTCCTGCTCTAGACGCCAAAGATGAAACACGAACATCTATATACTGGATTAGGCAATACCACCATATTTTCAGATTTCTCGCATTTTAAAAGAGCTCTGAAGTGTATAATTGGCAGTAAAGAATGTCAGTATTTTAAATTTGATTGCAACAACTGCTAAAAAAACCATAGTATGCCAGATATTGAGCTATCTCATTTAAAATTTTTAACAGGTTCTCATCAAACTGTATTTGAATCACTGTCTTTGAAAAATCTGGGACCGAGTAAAAAACAAACACTGGATTCAAATTAATCCAATTTAATTCAACTCAAATGAAAAGAGTACCAAATTTAGCTTTCAAATTTTACCAATGTAATAGAATCTGTCTGTAAGAGAAATACACAGCTTTTCCTTATAACTGAGTTTTAATGTATTAACTGATTTTAGTCAAATTGTGTGTTACTAGTCTAGAAATGGAAAAGCAATGGAACTGCTGATGCTGGGTTAACAGAATATCTGCCTGGATTCACATATTGTGCTGAACTGTGACTTAACCATGATTTAATATATAAATCACAACTGACCAGAGTCATGCCTTGTGTTCAGCTAGAACTAAACAAATCATCTTAATGTGTTTAGTAACCAACCCCATGGCTCTCTTTTGTAGAGCAAATCAACTATAATAGCAGCAAAGCTGAAACCCTACCAAATATTTTTCTCCTTGAAATAACTCTGTAACTGCCTCCTTCCTTTGAATAAAATTTTAGATATTTTATCATGTAAGAAATATGGAGTTAAAATCAAGTGACGTTTCTACATATATAAGCAAAACTTTTACCTTATGAAATGTGTATATTAATAAAGATCATGGAATGTGGAATTTGGGGCTAAAGTACTAGTGTATCATGTAACACACATTTTACCATAAAAAAGAAGAATCAAATTTCTGTTTATTAATAATTGTTTATTTCTGCTTCAAGTTTTGTGCCCTTGTTGATTCAACAATGACATCTGCAATTTGGTCTTTTTGTTGACCAAACTGGATGCTGATTAAGAAGCAGCCCACTTGTCCTGTTTGCTAACATGCTCTGTCTCACTTAAGCGTTTAGACATACAGAGAAAGAACATGTGTGCGTATGCCTTTAACACTTGCAATTTACACTCAGTTGGGTAAAAGAATTAGTAAAGACAGGCTAAAGGCTGCAAAGGGCTTCTAATATATAATGGATTAAAAAAAAAACTTTGAAATTACATTTCTTTCTTATTTTTCTTTCTTCTTGTAAACCATAATATAAATGATTTCACACAATGTTGTTTTCACTATTCCCCCCACCCCCCAATAAAAGCAACAATAGATAGAAGGCTGCTTGTTCTTAAAATACTAAAGTGATTTGCAATCTCCTGCTTTATCTCAATATCTTTCTCTGACCTGGTAATGCTAAAGAATGGACTGGGTGAAGAAGTAGAATATGAACTCCTGATGGGTGAAAAGTTAATTATGCTTTCCTCTTACATATAGTGTCTGGTGCAATGAAGTGCTTTGCATTTTCATAGATGTGCTAAGACAAGAAGCAGATTAAATTTTATGCTGGCATCCAATCAAGTATTGTGGAAAATCTAATGATGTTTGGGTCACAGGCACGTGAAAATTCTCTGGGCTCAATATTTATTTATACAATTGTCTGGTATAATATTTACTATAGTTTCTCCAAAGATATTCTTGTTTCTGAATAATATAACTGACCTCCGATTCTTACTAGAAATAGTATTTTCCAATTTCTATTAGCTCACCTCATTTCAAGTCTATTAATGAACAATTATTTTGCTTTCTTGGAAAAAAAAGGAGGAAGATTGTAATATTTAAGGAGAATGTCTTTCGTTTTTCATGAGTAAATGACACTGAATGGCACGAATTCGATTCTTTGCTGGTGCAAATTCAGGTTGAAGCTTCAGTGTAGATTCATACCACCGCATTGCCTTCTCAAACTCCTCCTGTAGGAATCCAAGATCCACAATGATCAGTATTCAAAGTAAGTTATATCTTATAATGGTATATACCATACTTTGTTATTAGGGATAGAGTGCTGAATCTCAAAGTAAGTATCTTCAAGTATTAGAATATTAAACCCAGGCAAATGAACATAACAAACAAGACTTTCTTTTTTTAAAAAATAAAATAAAATATTTTTCCCATGTCATGGTAAATTACGTGGATTTTCTTATAGTAGAACGATGTGTAATACTTCAGTGCAGAATATTACAAAGGTTCAACTGCAAATACAATATTGTTACTTTCAGGTCACAACTGTGCAAGTATTAATATTCATTACTTTATATATATTCTATCTTTCTTCCAGCTGCCCAATATGGCTAATTAGCCATTACATTATAACTTAGTACTAGTGAACAAACTTGTTTAATTCTTCCTTATTTCTTTTATTTCTTCTCCTTTTCCTTGGTCAAAATCCAAAGTGTATATATTTCCACTTCCTCAATTAAATTTCTATTTCCTCAGTTAAATTAAACCCTATTTATTAGTATGCTCAACCTGGGAAGAAATAACTACTGACCCATATCTAGTTTTAGTAAGTATCTGTGAATGTGCACATAAGAGGTTCTTCACCTGCACATTAATGCTACTGGAATATCCCACAGTTAAAGTACTTTTGGTGGGAGTCCTATTGTCACATATTTATACAGCCAGATGTGGATCCTTCTTCCTCTCCATTTTGAAATAGCAATGACAAAACCAAGAGAGTGAAAAGCAATCACACATCTAAGACTGTGAGGTTATGTGAATTCATGGATGACTACTAGAAGAACTTCAGTTACAAATAGGTAGCTAATTCTTCTTCATTATATTCTCTATGGTTGAAGCCAATAATGCCAAGACTATTCTGCTGCCTACCCCGAGAACCAATATCTAGGGCTTTATGAATGGAGAAGGCTGTGTCACTGAGGCAGCCCTGCAAAGCTCAAGATTCCTCAGGATACAGAGGGGGTACAATAGAAATGAGTACTCCTTCAATACTCCTTGGTCAGGCATCTGAGCCAATTTGTATCACAGTCCGGTGGGCTGAAACTGGGATGAACCTGGTTCAACCAGTTTGGAACCAGCATTCTTTTCCCATGTTCCCTATGGCAAAGAAAGAGGCACATATCCTTTAGGATCAGCTCTGATTGATGAAGGCAGAAGATTATGTGTATCATGGCTCCAGGGATTATAGAAGAGTTAGTGTTGCCAGGATTGTGGCTCAACCATATAAAACACATTAAGAGGAGCATGATTAAAAATGCCAGTAATATGATTCCTTATTCTAAGAGACTGCATATCATATGGGGATTCCCCGCAGGTTGAGATTTTCTGTAACTTATGAAGGATTTAAAGGACTTAAAGGTTTTGGTCTCAAAAAGAACAGCCTAGGGCAGGGGTCCCCAACCCCTGGTCCGCGACCCGGTACATTGGGAACCAGGCCACGCAAGCGGCATGGAGCGTGTAAAGTTGCATTTGTGCAAAGACTGTGTGTGTCCATGAAACCATCCCTTCTCTCTTCCCCACTACTGCCAGTTTGCAAAGCCAGAAAGGTTGGGGACCGCTGGCCTAGGGGACAGGTGAAGATTCAGAATTCAATTCCAAGATAAAAGATCTCACATAGATGCTGAGGACAACTTACTCTCTCCCCAAATTAAAGTATGGTGAGAAACCCAAAGCAAAGTTCAAAAAGTTCTGCATATTCAAATATTACATTGAGAGATGGGGTGCAGTTAAATTTATTGAAAAACTTCTTTATTTTACAAACTGCTATTATATGCTGTTGGTATGGACTGCTGTTTCCTGTTTTAAAACGTGTCTATCACTCAGACTCAAGATGCTATAAAAAGAAATGAATCAGTATTTAGCAATTATTTACTCACCATTGCTACATAAACATTAGCCAAGGTGAAATGATTGACGACAAAGTGTGGGGCAATTTCTACTGCCATTGTAGCCACAATGATAGCATCATTCCAAAGCTTTGCGTTGTGGAAGATATTTGCTAAACTTATGAGAGGCACATCCTGAAAAGAAGAAAAATGGAACAAATCCAGTAAGAGGTAATTTTTTTTTAAAAAAAATCAAGCTATTTAAAATAACAAGTATTTAAAAAATCAGCACAGTATATTTTGTTCCTGATATACAGATTTTAGTAAGGGAGAAAAGACAGCGTTCCATGCAAAAGTTCTCCTGCCTCATTTAACCAACAAAGTGTCTACGGAAAAAATGTCTGTAATTAACATCAATCAATTAAATCAATGAAGAGGACACTTTTTTTTTAAAGTGACACTTAAAAAATCAATTCATTTCTACATAATAGATGGATCTTAAACTTGTTCCGCTTGTTAGGGAAGTGAGATTATAGTTCATTCAAAATTTGTTCTTCTGTCTATTGTAAACCTAATTAGATCGGACATTCACTTGCAGGGGTCTGCCCCCCGCCCCCAATTTAGCTCCAATTTGTACTTTGAATTCCTTTGGCTACTTTTTATTTGGTGCAGAAATAGAACAGCCAGAAAAGTTACCCTGCTTTTGTGAAGATGGTTTCCCATTTATATACTTTATCAAAAGTGTTGATGATGGACCATATAAAGTTGACTATTCCATAATAATTTTATATGAACATCATTATAAAATCCTTAAAATCAGTGAAAGCATATATATTGCTAAATATAAAATGAAAACTGTAATCACAGACATATTGTCTCCAGTATTATTTATTACACCCACCTTCATGTAATATGGTGTGTGATGTAAGGCTTGCCGCAGGCAATCAATTGCTTTCTTCCCTTGACCTTTTACCCTCCAGTAAAGGGCTGCCATGCTGGAAAGGATCCAAGAAGTTTGATTCTGGCACAAAACACAAGAAAGAAGGAAAATGTCACCAGATGTTTGACGACATTTGTTTCATGCTTTTACTATTTTTCACTACCACTCCAGTCTTATTCAAATATCTGGAAACTCAGAACACCTCTTTGTACAGGGAGCCATACTGTCAGAGCATGTATGTCGAACTTTATTATGGTTACAAGTAATTTAATTTTTATTTCAGGATCAAAACTTTGATTTTTGCTTAGCAGCAAAATACTGCCACTTTGTGGTGACTAAAAACCAATTCCTTAAGAACCTGTTTTTGAACTAGTGGGTGCATTTGGAATGTGGAAACTACAGTGGTGCCACTCGCACAGAACGGTTCTTGAAGTGCTAGAGCTTGTCCATTCAATCAATAGCTACTGAAGTGGAAATCAAAAAAGTAACTTCTCCAAGAACTTCAATACAAAGCAAAGGTGGAGTCTGAGCCCAAACAGCCAAGACATATATTTACCGCACAAAACACAACAAAACACTATTCCACAAAAGGCAAGCAGCCGTTCCTCAGAGAATATCTATATCTATATATCTATATAGGCAAAACATCCAGCTACACATTTCCACAAGAGGGAGGTGAGACATGCATCCTGCTCACAGAAAAATCAAAGAACAAAACAGACTACAGACCAATATCAATAAATGAGCACTTATTCCACAAACACAGATCAGTGGAAAGACATGGCCGCCCTACTCTAGCCTATAGGATGTTCTGTACTTGTGCCCTACCGATGTATTTTTTACACATTTCACAACAAAAAAATTCATCTGCAACTTTTACTTTCTAATACATTTTCTTGGAAAAAAATAGTGTGGTGTTGGAGAGAGACGCTTTGCTTTGAAAAATAATAATTACGTAATAGGTAAACTGATAACTAAAAACCGGAATCCCTGAAGGTTCTAAGGGACGTTAAGAATCCCAAGTGTTCGTTCTGAGAGCCTTTCTCCAAGGGAGGGTCCCGAAGTAGTAAGATGATGATGGGGTGGGGAGGCAGATAGGGAGCTCGGGATAGACACTAAGTATATGGGTTCTTTTCAGGACAAAGAACTGGTGGTCTCCCTAAAAAACTGCATGGTTGTGTGAACTGCTTCGAGACTTTGACATATATCCAAAAAAGAAATATAAAAAGATGTCTGTTAGAGATCAGTCTGAATCATTAGATACAGAAGATGAAGAGCTTGATCGGACTGAGTATCAGCTGACGTCAGGTGAGGAGCTACAAGTCATGGTGGATTTGATTTAAATCAAGTCAATTTAAACCATGATTTAAATCACTAGTAAAAAAGCCTTTAAATCATAATTTTTAAAGAGCTCCTCTGACCCGCTGTTGACTCACCGGCAGTCCCATTCACTTTAATGGGATGGCTAGTGATGTGGCAGTGACACAACAAGGTGAGGGACGTGGAGGGCAGCAGGTGAGTGGATTCCCACTAACAGGTGCTGCCATGATGAATCTGAAATGACAGGTGCTCTTTAAATGTAAGGACTCATTCTTGCTGGTAGATAGAATCTTTAATATTATTTGCAAACAAAAGGAAGGTTTCCTATTTAGAGTAACAAGCTGTCAGGTTAGTAAAACAGCAAGATCAGAACTGATTTTAGATTAATAGGTTAATCACACGTAGTTGGAAAACTACTCAAATTCTTTTATTTAACTAAACCACTTAGAGCCTGGTACAGATGCATTTCTCTTCAAACAATCATACAGTTTGTAATGTACATAAATTTGCAAAACAATGGGACAAAGGAATATTCCTGAACTTTGTTTTATGATTTATCTCATTGTTACTGTGAAACTGTGTGAATGCATCAATGCAGTGCATGTTATCTCAGCTTGCAGAGCTTGGGTTCACTGAATGAGTTTACCAAAAATGTAAATATTGCAGAATATACAGCCTCATGCTACATAACTAAGCTCCATTTCATGCTCTATAAACTAAATTATTAATGTTATCTTAAATAGAAAACTATATTTAGATAGATTTTTTTACTCCAAAAGCATTTTATTAAAATAAATTTGATAAAAATAAATCTGATTATTTTTTATTTATTTTTTTAAATCACCGATTATTATCCACCCTGCTACAGGTACAGAATAAGTCACTGGACTCACAGCTAGAGCTAGGCAAAGTCCTGAGCCCAGCAACACATTGCAAATTATGAACAGAATATCTTAAGAAACAAAACCCATCTACCTACAAGAAAGTGTGACTCGATGTGTTAAGATGGTGGTAAGGGTTTTATATGAGGGATTGATTTCATGACTGGCTCTAAGTGGCAAACTACGTTCAAATTTCTTACCCTTGAACCTGTCTGTATATTGTTGCTGGATTACCTAGAACCCTCCCTTTTTATGACCCTGTAATCCCTTAATTCAGGATAGAGTTGGGATGGAGCTGAACTTGCTAGAAGTCCTTCTGCACACCACATGGAGTTCGCAGCAGATAGTTTTTCTTTGCATCCTAGGAGAGAAACATTTGCTGCTACATAGGATAAGACTGGCTCTTACTGGCAAACACCATTCAAATTTCTTACCCGTGACCCTGTTGGTATATTGTTGCTGGATTATTTAGAACCTTGCCTTGGATTGAAAAAAAAAGACTATCTTTGAATCTCCCTGAATTTGACATTTGACCTTATGCCCTGGCTCAGCTGCAAAATGAGCTACTGATCTGCAACTCCAATAATTACTGTTTAATTTGTCAAGCATTTCAAGTTGAAGTATGAAGACTCAACAAAATCAGTTACAGCAAACGGAGGATTAGAAAGCTACATAAGGGAAGCTGGTCAATAGCTGATTATGTAAATGGCATGAGGCTCTTAGTACAAGACCTGGAGTGGAATGAGGAGATTCTGATGGATTATTCCCAGAAAGGACTTGCAGATGAGATCCTGGATGAATTGACCTGAGTGGAATGCCTTTCCTCCTTGTAAGACCTGAGCTACTGATACCAACAAATTGATGGATATGTTAAAATTAAGACTGGTGTTGTCCAGATCTCATTTGGATACAATCTTCCTTTCAAATGCAGGGATCTCCAACCATATCTCTTAGAACCAATGCAACAACAAGATCTCATTTATCTCCAGAAAAAAAGGGAGCCAAGGACATTGGGTCACAACACACACCATATGCCAAGAAATAGGCTGCATCTGGTTTAGAGGTGTTTCAAGACTGGGGGAACCATAACTGCTCAGCTAGACCCAATCCCAGGTACAATATTTAGCCAGCACTTATAAGGATCCAGATTCCTAACTGCCCAGATTTATAGTATGACTTGATTCTGAAAGTACCAATACTTTCATGGGCATTTGTGAAGGCTCATGGGATTCTGGAAGGCACTCCACCGTGCCTTCTGTATTTATGAAAGCAATTGATGGTCAATGCCTAATACTAGGACTAGCAGTCTGGCTGATATTGCATAGCTCCATAAACATGATCTTCAAATCATTTAGTCAAAACAAATGGCATGCTTCAGTTCACACAACACTGAGAATCAATTTCTATTTAATTCTCCAGCGATTATAGCCACCAAAATAGAAATGAAAATATGATCAGACTTCCAGTTAAAAATACAAACTTCAATAATGTTTTCAGACTGATATCAGGAAGTTGATCAGCTACCACATCATCCTATTCCTAGACTCTCTCAAGTTTCCTCTTTCCGCTATGTATATAGCATGTGTACATGTGTGGTATGTATGTGTATGGATAGATATATACTTTCTTTTGAGAGCAGGCAACAGAAGTGTGCTCATAGTAAAAAATTGCAATAAAGATTATCTTATCATCTGGCTCCTGAAGTCAAGATCTCAGTGAGGTAGATATATTCTGTAACTCTACAAAATTTTGCACACCCACAAAAAATATTCCAGATGGGAGTTCATTCATCCTTTCACTTTACTCACAGCCACTCCTATATAAAAGCAGGAGAATTGAGGTTCTGCAATAACTACAGTGCTCTCAGCTAGTTCACTATTTGAATTGGTACCTTCTACTTCTCAGGGTTCATAGGCCTTCTGAGGCAGCCTGCCAAGCAGCCTGCTGGTGTTTTAAAAAATTCAATAAATTCACCATTGCTGCTGCCCTGAAAGACGGGTTGGTAAGTCCCTCCAATGCCTCCTGTTCTCACCAACGCCATTAGCTCCAGCACTTCCACTGGTTTGCTCACCACTGAACAGTTCATCACCAGATGTTCCTTGGCAGCCCATAATTATTCCCAAATTATCAATATAGTCTTTCATAAGTTGTATAGGCATGATCTAAGAAATCCCCAAATTTTCAAAAAACTCAAGAGGAACCTATAACTGGTATGATTCTGAGAAAGCAAGGTAAACTTTTTTTGCACTTTGAAATAAAACCCTGATTTTCTTGAACTCAAGACTGGTCACTCCAAAATCTTTGGTAAAGTAAGATGGACCTGTTTTCTACCCAGAAAGCTTTGAGTTTATAGTGAGCTTTGTATTATTTTGGGGAAAGATTTATGACTGCAAAAAATATCTTGAGTTTGTTATCAGAAGCTGGCTGTATATATGCAGCTGGCAGCTCCTTTGGAATAATATATACCATGTAATGTAATTAAATGTTTGAATAGGGTCTCATTTTCTTCTAAACACTTCCTTATTTGTTTGATGCTTGTTTGAATGTTCCTAAGTACAGTAACATTTTTTTCTGAAAACCTATTAATCAAACATAGTCTATGGAGCCTGGCTTTTGGTACATTTTCTATATTTAAAAATATGCCCTCATATACCAATGGAATCAACAATAAAAACATGCTGCATGCAAGCTCACAAACAACAATAATGAATTCACTTCAGCACACGATGAACAATGTAACAGCAGTAAAATGATGCTTCAAACATTGGGCTTGAAGACTTTTTTAAATGTACATACACTGTGTACAGTTTTTTTTTTTTGCATTTGGCAATCTGCCTGCAAAGCTCAACTAACACAGTAATACAGTTTTTGCATTTGGCAATCTGAAGGCTCAAAATTGTAGCAACACTAACTGTAATGCACATGCACTGTGCACATGTTTGCATTTGGCAACCTGCCTGAAAAAGAAATACAATACATAGAGAACACATAAGGAAAACAGCATTACATTACAGCACATGGACTGTAAGTTCCCAATAGCAAAGAATTTAAAAAATAATAATGAACTTATCCAAGCACACAGTATATACAACTGGTTCTCTCATACTTCTATCTACTTTTAACTATCTCTAACCAATAGCTACAACTGCAGGACACTAGAACACTCAAAATTATACAGAACAATTTTTTCTGCTACTCCTGATTTTGAGACCAAACATCAGAACCCAAAGTGTTTTGTGTAGTTTTAGGCATTTCAAGCTCACAGTCTCAATATTTAGAACTGAAACTGAAGCTCAAATACGTAACCACCTAGTGAGAAGAGAGGACTCATTGGAAAAGACCCTGATGCTGGGGAAAAGGCAAAAGGAGAGGGGGAGGGCAGAGGATGAGATGGTTAGAGATGGTGTCATTGATACAATGAACATGAATTTGGACAAAATCTGGGAGACAGTGGAGAAGAGGGTGCCCTGGCGTGCTATGGTCCATGGGGTTGCGAAGAGTCAGATATGACTTAGTAATTGAAGAAGAACATCACCATTTTAGGAAAAAATGCTGGGATTGAAGTTATTTATCATAATTCATTGTAATGTATTATTTGATAGAAGTTCTTTTGTAAAAATAAAAGGAATGGCTGATGAAAACAAATGTAACTCAGAGCCTTCTCCCACTAAACTTAGCCTGCTCCTACTTGCTCCCTAATATTCTATAAGCTAATAATCAACCCCAGTTGTCACAATAAAAAAAATTACTCCATTTAATCACTTTTTATTTGGCTAGAAGTGTGTAGGCACATCATAGATTCTATTCTTATTTGGTGGAGACATGAAGAGAATATTGATTAAATATCTAAATAATGCTCTTGGATCAGAAGCAAAGAATAAAAGATATTCCGATGATACGTAACTATATACTTAATTCATTATGCAATCAGAACAAAATCAGCCTGAATGTAGATAAAACAGAGCTATGTTATTGGCAACGTTGGCATTTATGGGAAGAACTCTATCTGTCAATGACAAAGTGATTGATTTTTCAAAACATTTTGCAGCCTTATGTGCACTTCTGGTTCTAGCATTGAATATAAAGACACAAACTAGAGTAGTGGTTAGAAAGATCTTTTATAGATGAAATGTAATAGGGAGATTATGCTCCTTAAGAAAACAGAGATGAAACTATTTTTATCTACTTGTACGATTTGGATGGACTTCTCCAATAACTGTTAAATCCTTGAATATATCTCAGAAACTTCACCAGATAAAGAATATTATAGTCCATCTTTCTAAAAGTATAAGGAGATGCTCTTTTGAACACAGCTGAAGTTGTGTTCTTTAAAGTTTTAAAAATATCCACTGTCTGTGTGCTAGCTAACCATTTCCAATTTCATATTCCATTTTAGGGCATTCTCGGCTACTGCTGCCAGAACATACTGTGATAGCAAGTTGCTTTGAGAACTTAAGTTGGATTGTAAAACCTAGTGTCAAGAAGGCATTTTGATAGCAGGAACTAAAGTTTTCATTGACGGCTTTCAGTTTCCAGTTTCACCAATGGTTTTCCTAAGTTTCAGAAAAACTTTGAAGACTTAATTGATGCATCTTGCACAGGAGACGGACATTCTGTAACTTAAATGTAGAATTGCTGGTACATGCAATTTTAGATGTTTACGTATAGGTGGATGTTTTGAGGTATTTTTATAAGTTTATATACCCTGAGTCTGCAGGGATAGCATACAAGTTAAGTAAATATATATTTTTGTTAGTTTCAGTTTTTGTGAGATTTTACGATTTATTGAATATCAAAAATGGATTTACATTATATTAAAATGTGAAATGGAAAAAAAACCAAGCTCTATTAAATGCTAGGTTACTCCATGCTGGCATTACTGATCTTTATTTCTGTGGTAGAATGTAATCTGGATTCCCAGGAGGGAGAAGCTGCATTCCAGAGGACCAAGAGACAACGAACTTTAGATAGCTTGTTTGGGAGGTAAGACGATCAATCCAGCTCTTCTCTAAGAGTTCTCAGAGTATGTCTTTAGTTTGTTTTAGTTTGGCAAGATTCTATCTATAGGTGAAGAAAAATAAAGGAAAGTACTTTGAAGGAACTCGGTGTATCTTCCTTGGTTTTTGGAGCCTGACATTTTCCTTATTATTTGGACACTATCTACTCCAGTATAAACATTCCAGTAAGGAGGCTGGTGCGAGAGTGTCTCTATCAGGTATTATGAAGAAAAACCTATCTTTGCTATGACTATATTACAGACAAGTCATTTTCTTGAAGTGAGAGGCCTCAAAGATGATACTGTACTCTGGATGGTTTTGATCTTGCTCCCCAGATACCTATTCTTTTTCTAATTAGCAAATAAGCAGGAAGGTGGATCAATTCTAATTTAATCTGTAGAAACCAGCCTTTTCCAACCTTGTTCTCCTTACACATATGGGCTTGCAATTCGGCTCTTATTTTGGCAATTTTGGGAACTCTAATTGGAACACACTTGGAATTTACTACTTTGAGGGATGGCTGGTGTTTAGAGAATCCTACATATCTCAACCACATCTATTATTCTACGAAAACATAAACTTGCAGCTACCTTTTCAAGTACTTTGGCTATTCGAGTACCAACTTGTTCTAAAGACTGTGGTGGATATCGGTCTTTTCCAAGATTCTGCAGTACCTGTGAATCAAGAAAGAAACAAACATTCTAATTTCTATCAAATGCCTGACCGAAAGAGATACAATTTCTTTCCTTCTGAAAGGTTGAATTCAGTATTCTTGCAGATTTCCATTCTGCAATTAATACACATGGTTAAAAAATTACTATTTCCAAATCCGTGCATATAAAAAGCTTTAAGAATGCTTTAGTTCAATGATTAAGATTTACAAATCTGGAATCCTCAATTGAGGATTGAGAAATTGAACATTTCTCTAGAACAGCCATGTCAAACTCGCGATGTCACGTGACATATCGGGACAGTTTTGCCATTGCCGGCAATGGGGTGGGCGCGGCTTCCGGATGACGCGTTCGGCCCACGGGCCGGCAGTTTGACACCCCTGCTCTAGAAAAAGACTTATAGCTTGCCATCAGTTGAGCTTACTATGGATGTACTGAAACCAGCAACTCATGAATAAATCAAGTAATACCGATTTCAAGTGAGTCTGTTCCAAGCATGCTATTTTTAGGTCAATCCCAAGCCCATGTGAGAGCACAACCCTACCTCTTTCAGTTGACTCTCTCCCATGTAATGAAGACTGGCTCGATTGGCAACACCATGGAGATGATCCAATGTATGCATGCTGGAGGGCAGGTTGGCATTGCAGAGAGGCTCCATGGCGGGCTCTTGCAGGGGAGTGGCAAAATCAATGTGCTCTGTGATGCTACAAGAGACAAAGGATTGTTAAGATATTAAAGGAAACATATACATCTATATATCTAAATCAGTGGTTCTCAACCTTTTTAATGCCGCGACCCCCAACCGGTCGTAAGTCGAGGACTAAACCGGTCATAAGTCGAGGACTAAACCGGTTGTAAGTCGAGGACTACCCAACCGGTCGTAAGTCGAGGACTTTCCCTGCCCGGGAGTGCCGCGCATGCGTGGTTCTGCCCCCTGCGCCGGCCGAGGTATAGCTGGCAAGCGGCAGAGACGGAGCAGGCCGACCACCAGCTGGCCCAGCTCAAGGGAGGTAAGGCACCCACCGGAAAAGGGGAAAAAATGGCGGACAGCCTTGCTTGGCGACCCCCGTGAAATGGTCGATTGACCCCAAATGGGGTCGCGACCCATAGGTTGAGAACCGCTGATCTAAATCAATATATTGAACAAAATTGAAGCCAATTCTAACTGAGATTTATTTCAGAAGCTGTACACCTGACTCACATTTTGAAAAAGATTTTCTAATGTTTCTATCACATTGGAACATTCCCTTACCCAAAAAGGTTTATGTGAACAGCAGGTAGTTAACTCCAGTACTGTTTTTTTCTTACATCATTCTGAAATTATACTAGAGGGAGAAAGCAATAAAATGTTTTCCTATATGTGAATTGTTAAGGGGTTAGGGAAAGACTCCTGTACATGAGTTTGATTCTGTATGGTTTCTACTTCCTAAGCTAGCCTTGGGTTTTTCTGGTAATCGAATTTCCCCTTTAAATACCAAGTACACTGAATGCTGTTTAGTTATGGTCAGCTAAGTGTTGCTACAAAACAATGTCTGAATCCAAAAACATTGTACTTTTTAGCATAATGCTCTGCTTTCTAAAGTAGGATGGATTTCAAGTGGGTGAGCAAGAAGTTCCAGACAATACAGTCTGCTGGAGTACGACATCCTTGCTGCTCACTTATTATTGCATTATATTTATTAGGCTTTGATGCTTACTCCACAAATATCTAGCGTATTTTAGTAGACAGACATACCTGATTTAAAAACTGTATTCCACCAGAGGCAGCTTCATAAAATGGTTCTACAGATGCTATCTGGGGAATGTCATTTTTGCATTTACCCACCAAATTTAATGATAATATATACAAATGCTTACCTACAGATAAAACAAATTAAGAAAGCGAACAATAAATGCTAGTTGAGCAGGACATTATCTCCTCCCAATAGATGTAAGTTAAAAGAGGAAGGCACACATTTTTTGGATTCAGGGCAGCATTCCAAAAAGTGAATAATGCTGTACAAAGGCCCTCCTCCCCATGACTGCTAAATTATGGACAAACTCTGCATAGAGAAACACAAGCCAGTGCAGAATCAAAGATGATAAATCGTTGAAGTTAGCGAGCCTTCATATCCAAGAACTTCTGTATTGTTAGGTTTGAGATTTAGCCTACTGGGACTCAGAATCTCAACACACCTCCTGTTCCCCCTAGAGCTGAAATGTATAACTGAGTGACATCAGCATGTTGATAATACTTGGTTCCATGCTTAAAGATGCCTTAGTGACTTCATATTAAAATAGGACTGTGTCAATCCTGAGGCACTGGGCAATAATGGTAATATGTTAATTTTAGGCCAAAGTTATAAACCGATCACAGCCTGATACAGAAATAATGGTTTATTACAGCCAGTTCTTTCCTTTCCTAGTATTTTTTTCCCCCTGGAAATGCAGGGACAGGGTTTTGTTTTGTTTTTTCAGATCAACCAAGTGTTGATCCATTGGTTGTGACAGGAATGGACTAATTGGCTTGTCTGAGCCTATTGTGGGCTGAGAGAGTGATACCTCAGAGTGAGGTTTAAAGAAGCATCAAACATAAACCTAAACTATATTTTCTTGGATTGTCATGACCAATTCAAAATAGATGTGAAATTACAATTCCTATTGCATTTCATGTGCATCACCTTGCAAATTTTATAATCTCACTTGATATTTTTTGTCTCATTTGGAGAGATATTCCTGTAATTATTCAGACTTTGTTTTGGACATAACTTGATTAAATTATTGCTCACTCTTAACTTTCACTCATTTCTGAAGCCATTAAGAAATACGTCATGATATTCTGCAAGAGAGTACATAATGCTGGAGATGACATGTCTGATATTAGAACAAAGACACTCACAGAAGCTCAGACCTCTGTGGATTATTAGATCCAATAATAGCATTGTCAAAGTAAGTGCAGAATACAATACAGTCACAACTTGGTGTATCAGCCCATTAAGATGAATCTTTTAAGCTATACATATCTGTCCCACTTAACTGACCTAATTTTGTTTATAGAAAAAATACTCACTCAATATTTTTAGCAGAAACAGCTAGCCATGTGCTGGCTACAGTAGTAAGGTCCATCCTGCGGAACTTAATACACTCATCAGGACTTGGCCAACCCAAGCTGCGATAGTCTTTCTTTCTTCCTGCAAAGAAGCAAGCAAATCTTTTGAAAACAAGAAGAATCATTTCAATTTTTAACATTCTTTTTCTATAATGGGAATTTCAATTATTGGAATAGTATAGGCTATCTGATAGCATAGGTATTGACTTGGAACCTAAGGAATAAAAAAGCATTTTAAAAGGCTGTATTTTATGGATGTGCAAGAAACTAACATGTACTTTGCTCTATACTAAAAACAAACATCTTGTGCCTCAAAATGTCTTTGGACCGTCCTGGGAGGGACATGGTTCTGCTAAAATGGCATCAAAATAATTTAGATCAATCTAGGTTTCAGTTAAAGCAAATCTGTTCTAGTATTAAAAGGCAAAAAGGGCATAGCAAGGATGGTATTCCTCATCCCTCTTTCCCTTTCTCAGTAAGGTCTATGCACCAGCTTCCACATTTTATTCACATTTAATTTATACATCTGCCCATCTCACCAGAAGTGACTTTGGGTGGCATCAAACCATAATATAAAAACAGCCATTATAAAATTATGAACAATTATGATTAAAATTAACTAATATATAAGTATACTTTACTTGCCAATCTCTCCAGTGTTTTCTTCCTCTTACTATTCTGTCTCTACGCTACTGCCCCAATGGGCCTGTCCTCCCTTTCTGCAGTTATCTGGCATACTTGCCCTATCTCCTCACAGCTTCATGCCATGTTGGACATACTTGGTTTTTGACAGCAATTATGACTGGGATTGCTATCACTAAGCAATATGTTCATAAAACATGACCACATGTGACTGCATCATTTAACAATCCCAACAGTCCTGGTTGCCATCATAACACCAACATGCATGGATCATTAGGCAGGAAGAGGTGGAAATTCCAGGTATGGAGCAGGGAGGTGCCATGGGGGGAGGGAATGTCCCGGAAGAGCCAGAACAAGTTGGGGTGGAGCAACTTAAGACTCTCCCTGCTGGCTACCCCACAGATTTTGCTTGTGGAAAGTTGGCAGGAAAGGGCACAAATGCAATCATGTGACTGTGGCTCCCTGAGTCATCATAATTGTAAGCTGTAATTGTGAGACTGTTGGATGCTATGATGGCCAGAACTTTGAGGATCAGTTGTACATCCATTATACCAAAGCTCTGAAGCTGTCTTTTTTCAGTTAACTGCACAATTATCTGTTAAACCTGAAGAACTTCAGTTACTTTCATTTTGGTTTATTCTGTGGACATTATTTTTATTTTGGCTATTGGAAAAAGTTGCGCCATATCACACAAAAATAAACACTATGCTAGTTTCCTCCCAGGAGAGAATTTTGCTTTTTTTCTCTGATTGCAAGGTTACAAAGCTAGACACATATACTTGGCAAGCCCTTTGCATGTTCTGGGACATATCTATGAATGAGTATGCACAGAATTTTACTGCACAATGTGTACAGTAAGCTTTTATCACAACTTATTTAATGTGTGTATCAAGTGTATCCTACTATTCTGAAACAAATATTGGTCTTGTTTTTTTAAAAAAAGAAAGCATATTACCAGGTGGCCCAGGGGAAGGTATTTTTGGCCCACTGATTTCCAATGCCATTTGGTAAAGGTTTTCATTTTCTCCAGCTACTCCTTCCTCTCCAATTCTTGCAGCAGGTTCTTGTGGGTCTATATTTTCTGGTTTGTGTTTCTTTACACGTTTTACTTGAAATGTGATCTGTCAAATTAAAAGAAAAGGTGAAGGTAACAGAACTAAATATATTGCTGTGCTGATAAGAATGAAGAACTAAGCTGATTCCTTTCAGAATAAGTTGATTTTCAAGGGCAATTTCCAGACAGTTTCCTTTTTCTTGATAATTCTAGTCACTCTAATTCTGCTCACATCTTAATACATCAAATGTACAAACAGAAGCATATAACAATAATTTGTTTAGCTCAGAACTGAATAACACATTCAGCACTGAAGGCTCCTCAGAAAATTAATAGTGTAAAGGTTTGTAGGCAATAATTCTGTAGTATTAAAATAAATAGATTAGACTACTAGAAATTGCTAAAATTCCATATCTTTAGACCAAAATCTTATCACAACTAACAACTAATGTAAAGGGAGAAGTTTCCTGGTTTTGCTTTTGTATGCCCTACTACTTCTCTGCTGGCAATAGGCATTTGCAAAAAGCACACTTTGAAGGAGTAAGCACATGTCTGTGCATGGAAATATGGGAAGGAGCACATCAGGGAAGAGGTGAAACATGGCCCAGTTTAGTCCCATACAAGAAGATAATTTTTTAAAAATATTTTTTTTGGGGGGAAGGGCACTTTCTGTGATTATTTATTAATTAAATTTTTATGCCTTCTATCTCCCCTGTAAGGTGACTCTGGGCAGCTTACTGGTTATAAAATAAATATAAAAACAACTAAAATATTAAAACATTAAATTTACACAGTTTAAGATTTAAGGTTATTCTATGATGATGGGAAAAAAACCCCAGTTCATTATTGTCATTTTCTTTTTTTTTATATATAGAGATATTTTATTAGATTTTATAAGGATAAAGGGGAAGTGGGGTCAATGGGGGTATAACAAGGGGTGACAAACAAAAAAGGGTTAGACCAGGGGAAGGGATAGGTATAATAGTGGGGTTATCCCCACAATAAGTCAACGCCTTTAGCAAGTAAACCCGTCCGGGTATACATATTCAATCATAATAGTTAATATAAAATAACCATACTTAATATTACTAATATATTGCTAATTAATCATAATAACATTAACATATTGATGTATTACTTATTAGTTATAATTACTTGTTATTAAAATTACAAATAGAAAGGGGAAGAATTCATAAAATAAACATAGAATTTAAATACAAAATAACAATTATCCCATTAAATTCCATAAGCTTTTCTCATTCTATCGTGTTGCTATCCATTGGTAAAATTTATCCCATGTTTTAAAATAGATTGAGTCTTCTTTCTCTTTCATTTCTAAAGTTAATCTGTCCGTTTCAGCACATTCAAGTATTTTTATTATTATAATCTGGTCAGATGGTAGATTTTCATTTTTCCAGAATTGGGCAAATGCTATTCTCACAGCTGTTAATACATGTAAGATTAGATACTCATTCTCCTTTCCATAATTAGATCCTAATATTCCTAACAAACACAGTTCCGGTTTAAATTCTACCTTTATTTTCATCATTAAGTTATTCTATGATGATGGAAAAAAAACCCAGTTCATTATGGATGGGAAAAAAACCCAGTTCATTATGGTCATTTTCTCTTTGTTAATCTGTATTTATGGTCTGGCCAAAAGAACAAATTTCAATTTGACATTTGCATTATAATAGCTTCTTAAAACTGAAAAATAGCAATATTTTTTCCAAAGAAAAGGAAGGTGTATTGTGTGATGGTGATGATAATGATTTAAAGTATATTCACATTTTCTCCAAGTCATCCAGTGCCAAGAGCTATGATATTTCAAATAAATTGGCACTGATAAACTAAATTACTGAGAAGAAATGTAAGTGGAAAGTAGAGAGTAGCAAAGTAAATGGGGAAGTTAAAGTAGACAAATAGAGTTACAGAAAGATCGATGGGATGAAAAAAAAATCAAAAAAGTAGGAAAACTAGAAGTACTGAGAGCAAAAAGAGCTACAGGCAAATAAAAAAGGGTTTCTCTAAGTAGAGGGAGGCACAAAGTGGAGAAAGAGAAAAAATTGGAAAACGGTGGAAGAGGTCAAACAGAGATTTGTGAAAGATGGTGGCTAAAAGAGGGGAAACAAAATTAAAATGAAATATTTCAAATCTATCTTTTGTATAAGTTCTAAAAAAATGCAACAGTCTTGAAAATGTTTCGAATTGTCCATCTCTATTTTCACACACACACACACACACACACACACACACACACACACACACACACACACACACACACGTTAAAACAGACTCAGAAAAAATGATTTACAACCCATCCTCAAAGTTATGACCTTTGCCCATTCTCACTGTTATGTGATCCCAATTTAGGCCCAAACAACCAACTCACATTTACAACATTTGCAGTGTCTATGATTTGCAATTTTCCCACCTGTCTTCTGACAAGCAAAGTCAATTGGGGAAACTTGATTCAGTTAATAACCATGTGGTTCACTTAATGAGGGCACTAAAAATTGTTGTAAAATCTGGTCCAATCATGTTTAATGATTGTTTAATATCTGTATCAGCTAGTAACTAAAATTCCAGTCCAAATTATGGTTGTAAATCAAAAACAATCTATAATTTTTATTAAAGATTTTTTTAAAAGACAAAAGATAAAACCTAATACACACTTATATAAGAAAAAAAAGAAAATAAAATGAAGCTGAAAGTGCGAGGAAAGAAAAATAGAAAAGAAAAAAGATACAAAGTAACTTCTAATATTCTTTACAGCAGTTATAAGTACAACTATAAATTTACCTCTTACTCTGTAGTTTCTATAATCTGTCTTAATTATCAAAACCATAAATCATAAGTTTATCTTTTCTGTTTTATGCAGAAAATCCAAAAAGGGTTCCCAGTCAGCAATAAATGTAAATGTTGTCTTTTCTCTGAGCAAAGAGGTTAATTTGGCCATCTCAGCAAGTTTTATTATATTAACCAATGTTTCTTCCATTATGGGTAGTGTCAAACCTTTCCATATTTGTATATACAATAATCTTGCTGCAGTTATCATGTACATAACAAAGTTCCATGACTTTTTGTCCAATTGTTTATTCATCGATTACCCCCACCCCCAGCACCCTCTGATCACAATTGTATATTAATCTTTAAAATCCTATGCATCAGCGTATTTGAATCCAGACTTTTCTAGCATTTTTACACATCCACCAAACTTGATAAAATGTGCCTTCTTGTTGGTCACATTTTCAGTATAAATTTGAAGTGCCTTTATACGTTCTAGAGCATTTCTCTGGTGACATATACCAATGCTACATCATTTTATAAAGATTCTTTTTAAGATTATAATAGTGTAAATTTCAATCCTTTAGCCACATATTAAGAGTCCTTACCCATTCAGTTTCACCATCATCACCATCATCCTCTCCACAGTCTCCCAAACAGGAGCTGGCAAGTCCATCTTGAGAACCTTTCTTGAGTACACGGATCCCTTGCAAGTCCATCCGATGGCCTTTTACTTCCAGTGCCCCTTCAAAAGCTTCAAGGGGCCAAGAGTTTTCAAATTCATCCACTAATGCCAGCATCTCCTCAGACATCTGAGCATCTCCCAAGTTTTCTATTTCTTCTGAGTCATTGTTTTCTGCAATAACAGTACCTATGATAGGAGAATCAACAAAATTCATTACTCTGTTCAAAAGTTATTTTATGTTCAAGTCCTATGCTGAAGAAGTGTGACAATTCTGCCATTCCAAAACCAAATGATCAGTAGAAAAGCATGTCATACTCTTAATCAAAGCATCAATACTTATTTTTTAAGTAAGGCAATTTGCATTGTAAAAGGCTTTTCTTATCCTGAAAACTCAGTCTACTAAATAAATATTATTTCAATAAAAAGGCAAAACACAAAATAGTTCATTTTATAGTGATGAACATGTATGTGCTGAAGGCTGCAGTGGACTTTGAAGAAACAAGATAGAAAGGATATTGATGCTTTTGAATTTTGGCATTGGAGAAGACTGAAAATGCTATGGACTGTCGAGAAAACAAACAGACCAACCCAGAGTTCTCGCTCAAACAAAAATGACTGGGATCAAATTATCATACTTGGAACACATTATGAGAAGTTCTAACTCTCTGGAAAATGTTCTACTGCTGGGAGAGGGGGAAGGGAAAGAAGAGGATGATACCAAATAGCAAAGTGGATGGAATCAATTACAGCATGATAGGTATACTGTTGGAAGAACTGAAGGACCAATTTAGTGACAGATAATCATGGAGAAAATCTATGTCAGTGATGGCGAACCTTTTAGAGACCGAGTGCCCAAAACCCGCCTCCTGTCCCCGCTCCGCCTCCCATCCTGCCTGCTCTGCTTCCTGCCCCACCCACCCACAGGGCCATGCACCGCCTCCTACAGCAGATCACCCAGGTAGCCCTGCAGCGCCCAGGCAGCCATGCCCTCCGCCCACACTCCACAGCATCATCTGCACGCTATGAAGCGTGAGGGCGGAGTCTTGTCCCTGCTGCCTGGCTATGTCCTTGGCTGCGCTGCTCCATGCAGGCTGCGCCTGGGGGCGACTCTCCTCCAGGGGGGCTGCTGGTGAGGAGGGGGCCGTGGGGGGAGGTGGGGCTGGGGCGACAGCACACGTGCCCACAGAGAGGGCTCCGAGTGCCACCTCTGGCACGCGTGCCATAGGTTCGCCACCACTGATCTATGTGATCACTAGGAGCTGACACTGATTTGTTATCACTCACTCAATCAATTAATGCTCTAGAGCAGGGGTGTCAAACTGCCGGCCCACAAGCTGGATGCGTCATGATGAAATCGCGCCCATCCCATTGCTGGCAATGGAAAAAAAGTCGTGATATGTCACGTAACATTGCAAGTTTGACACTCCTGCTCTAGAGAAATATTAAGCTATTTCTCCCTGCTTTTGTTTAGAACCAATTGCATCCTCACAGAGAATATGCCAACATACATTCTAGTCAGTTCAGAATCCTTACGACATTATTTAAAAACAAAACAAAACCAAAGACACAATTTAAACAAATGTTGCCTGTGGCCATGCCTAGAAAACATTGACATAAGAAAGATCTAAAATTCCCATGGATGAAAATCATCTATTTTCCTGGACCGTTAAGAACAAATTATTTCCAATTCTCAAAACTTGTTTTGAAGCACTTTGCATAATACTGTTCTCCTGAGTATGTTTTTATATTCAACGTATTTCTGATATATTGCTACCAAGTTATTGGTTGCTAACTTGGAATACAAGTGTCAGTGTGTATGCATGTGTGTATGAAAGAGAGATTAACAGAGTTTTATCAACATACCATCTGAAGAGGTCAGCATGTAAAGTTTATTAAAATATATTCAGTTGCTTTTCAAGCTCTTGCTCTCTTGTGCAGGGGTTTCCATTTTATTTCCTAAAATATATCCACACTGAAATCACCCAAAAGGCAAAAATGTATCTGAAGCAGCTATACGCTTCTCTTTTAAAATTTAATGAAATATGTTTCCATTATGTGAAGAGAACAGTAATTCCAGAAACGGGAACACTTCAGTAAGATATAAAAGTGAAGGGGATTACACACCAGAATTGTTCACAGGAGATTTCCTACTGGCATAAAAAGGAAAGGATTTGTATGGACCTGCCATCTTCACTGAGGCCAAAGAGAACATTAAAGGCAGTGTGAACGGCTCAGTGTGAGCTGGCAGTTGCAGAAAGTGCATCTTGCTCATTTGTCTTGGTTGGCTAACGGGGAAGGGAATGGTGTAGGCAGTTTTTGGCTTCTGCAGTCAAGAAATGAGTGTGCTAAAATTAATGTGCCCTGCTCACCCATCAGTTCCTCTACTATCCTTGCTTTTCAGTTAAAAAACATTAATTCAGAAATATCTTTTTGATTTCATAATAAAACTAAATGTTACTCAGTTGCCTATTTAACTCTTTGGCTTTAGTTACAACCAGCTAAAGTAGAATGTATTCCAAATCAGTTAAGTATTTTACTGATTGGCATGGCTATGCAGTGCTTTAGATTTAGTCTCCAAAAGATGCTTCAGAACATGCTATCCTGGGAAGATAGACATCTTTTTTAATGACCTTATATCTGTGCTCCAATGCATTTTATAATCTACTAATGAAATGTCGCAAAACTCAAGTTTGTCCTGTACATAAACTGTTTTTAAAGTTCAGAATAACATACATCCTACTGCTCTACCATCACATAATCCCCTTGCATGTCTCTGCTTTAGATGAGACACTAGCTTAGTGGTTTGACCTACAATATGCAAATGTTTTAATGATTAAAAAATGTAAATAATTCAGTACAATTTGAAAAATGTTTGTAGTGTTCCTATTCATCCTAGTATGCAATCTAATTTTGACCAAAACTATGTATAGGTGTTCCAGAGGTACTCTGACAAATAGTCAGCAGTCTAGGTCTTTATGAATTTGAACTTAAATGAACCTTTTAGGACCTGGATCACCTGGTCAAGTTATTTTACATCAGAAGTAGAAAGTTTAACAGGATTTCTTACTAGCAATAATGTACAAATATTAAATGTATTTGCTGTATTTTCAAGTCACTAAAAATCTACTGCCAGACATAGTTGCCTTTGCCTAGTGGTTATATTGATTCTGAGTATTCACTCACTTTCTAAAGTCAAAGATGATGAATCCCTTGCTGAACCATGAACCTGATCTGTCAAATCATCTTCAGCAGCCGTTTTAAGAGTTTCTTCTATTAATATGATATCAGAATCCTGTGAGTTAAAGTACTTCTGCTTAGCATGGTTGTCATCTTGACTCTTCTCATGACAGTAACCTGTGAGAAATGCAGAGAAAAAGAGAGACTGTAGACATGATTCCCTCAGGGTAAACCACTTGCTACATCTCTTGAATAATTGATATACAGAAATTATTGATATACAGAAGTAAAAGGCCTAAAGGGAAGAATAACTATACACAATGCTGTGAGATTAATGGATGTCAACCTGCAATACTGTTTGGATAGATTCCTTGGTGGTTTAACATCTTTATCATGCTAAGAGCACAATGACAGCTTCCCATGGTATTGACATGATACCACAGAGTACCCAGGAAATCTTAAAAGGGAAAAGGCAAATATTTCTCCCTTCCTCCTTAATATTCATGACTGAACTCCATTACAAGTCACTTCAGCACTTCAGGAAGACTGTATACCCATCTCTGGAAAAACGGAAAATGTGGAAAACTTGAGATACCATATAAATTAGATAATACATTATGAAAAACGAAATTAAAAACAAGATCTGAGAGGCCTGGTGGCGCAGTGGTTAGAATGCATTACTACAGGCTACTTCTGCTGCCTCTCGGCTGCCAGCAGTTTGGCAGTTCCAGTCTCACCGACTCAAGGTTGACTCCGCATTCCACTCTTTCCGGGGCCAGTAAAAATGAGGGCCCAGATTGTTGGGGGCCATACGCTGACTCTGTAAACCTCTTAGAGAGGGCTGTAAAGCACTGCGAAGCGGTCTATAAGTCTAAGTGTTATTGTATGTGTCTTGTTTTAGACATCACATCAAATTAAATTAATAACAAATGCCTCCTCTCCCCCAAATTCCAGCTCTGCTTGCTAAAATGGTTGCCTACTGACTGCCTCATACAACAACTGCTCAAAGTTATAGCAGTGGTGGAAAAATAACTTTTGTAACTGAGGTATGCATTTACAGCATCTCACAGTCACATTAAACAACAGGCTCTTTCCATGAAGCAGTAAGTTCAGGGAATAATCCATTCTTTCTTTTTCTTGTGTAGAATGTCCATTACATTGTAAAGAAATTAAGGGAATTGTTTTAGCTTTGTAGAATGCTTAGCAAATCATAGAAGTTTTTTTTAAAAATGTAGCACCAGGAATAAAATGTAGAGATAGGAAACAAATTAGATGAGCTGCATATATCAACATCGCTGCAAAAGTGTACAAGTGCTTTTCATGTAAAGCAAGAATGTAAAAATATAGCATATATGAACTGAATCTAGGTTCATTCTTGTGGGGTTTTGTTAATAGACACTTGATAGTTTACAGTAGAATGAATGAATGACACCAGTAAAAAGAATGCATTTGAGATGTACTGTCTGATAAGCAGTACAAAATTATCACTTTGGAAACTGTAATACATTTCTGTTTAAACATACTTGTTTAAACAGCCAACAGTTGATTCAGGCTAACTAGGAAATCAAAGGTAGTCCAAAGGAAGCTACATAATACAGTGCTTTATGCCACAAATACTCCAACAGTGAAGGTTATTCAAAGCCCTTCCTTACATAGATTTTGTTATATTATAAATCTTAGAATTTGGGCTTACAGTATTTGATAGCGCAATAGATAAATCTCCCACTTCAATTTGTTTTATAGCCAAGCTCAGCTATTCTCTATTCCACAGAAATTGCCACATTTATGCTAGTAAGCAGGCACGCTAATCAACATTGATTCACAATGTTTTCAGCAGAGATTTAAATTTTACATGCCTGGTCTTCTGCTTGCATGGTGGGATTTCTCCTTCCTCTGCTTTACTCTTCTATCCCATTCCAATTCAGCTTTATCCACAATTTTAATAGAGCAAATACATGCTTCCTGATACTTTTTATTTTTTTAGTTATGAAACATTTCTTTTGAACTATATCAAAGCAACAGCAGCAACATACAAAAAAACCCAACATCTAAGCTTTTCATAAGGGCGTTCCTAGATGTCATACTTTATATTTCATAAATGTAATTTAAGCTGCACTGTAAATAAACCACGAAAAGAAAATTAGACCCAATATAGCACAAACGGGACATATGACCACAAACCTTTTCTCTGCTCCTCTAAGGATCTATTGGGATGGATAACAATATCATAATCTCTTTAAAACATCCTTTGGACCCTTAGTAATGGCTAAGCTGGCAACTTTATTAGTTACACCTATCTTTCTTCCTGCACCATTGGATATATAGCAGGATTTTTCTTTTTGTGATGTGGACAGAGTGATCAATAGTATGTTCTCAACATTACCTGAAAATGAGGCCCAACGTGGAAGATGGTTTTCTAAATTTAAATTATGAACATCATCAGCAGATAAGAAAGGCTACAAAATGCAATTTGCAAGGCTTCTCAGGTTATGTTGAAGCTATATATAGAACAGAATAGTAAGCAGTGTTGTGGCCTGAATTTTAATTAATGCTTCAAAAATCATCCAATGTCCTTTAAAAGACAGAATAAATACTGAATGGTGACAGCTTAAAGTTCTGTAATCTAAACTATAGTTTTAAAATCTTATTTCAAGTATTATTTTTTCTCACCATAATTTATTTTTCTGCAAAAATCAGCTGTACGAATAATTATTCACTTCTGACTTCCTAAATAAATATAGGTAGTAAATTCTTTATACAAATGAATTCTGACTGCTGATCATTAACATAAGCAACAAAAGCAGAAGCAAATTTATTACTTTACTAATTTATAATAAAAGTAAAGTTTTTAAATATGAATTATTTTATTCTTTCATAAAACAATTTTTTATAATGGGTTAGAATTTTTTAGTCAGGCTTTACTCCAACTAAAACCAATGTGACACAAGATTGTAATTATTAACTTGTTCTGTTCATTTCAGTAGAATAGAATTTTATCTGGAATGTAGCAATCTAGTATACTAATAAATTATATATGCTATTTTAAATACTGAAAATTTAAAACCTATATATGCTATTTTAAATACTGAAAATGGAAATTAGAAAACATTTATTAGTTTCAACTATGGTCCTAGGGTATATATTGATGTCACAATGAAATAAAGAGGGAGAAATACACTTCTTCAACAGTAATATTAATATTTTATACTTTTAGTTATTATTCAGTAACATGAAAAATACAGAATATTCTTTATGGCAAAATTCACTCTGTATATTTTCTTTAATTTTTAAGCATTATTTGCTTTAAAGTATTACAATATTTATCCTGCAGTATGAGATAATTTTTGAATATAAGTAATCCTTGACTTATAAACCTTCGTTCAGTGACTGTTCAAAATTATGACGGCACTGAAGGGATGTATGACGCCGGCAAAAAGTTCCTGCCAATGCAGTGCCCCTGCGGTCACAGAGCATATGAAAAGCAATAGGGGGAACAACTTATATTACCGAAGCTTCTAAATTTAAAACCTATTTGATTATTTATCTACAGTTATAGATAAATTATAAATTAGATCTGTTAAGTTATAAATCTACAGCTAGGTCTTGAATATTTATGAGGACCAAAATTATTAATAAAAGCCAGAAGCATAATTCACATGAAAACAAATCAGTCCAAAATTGGCAACGCTCCTATTAGAAGCATTATCTTAATACCTGTCCCTGCTGTTAAAAATACAAATAAAAACAGCTTAAAAAACAAAAAGAATGATATAGTTCTTAACACCCCAGGATTTATTTCAGTATGTGTTTAAAATATAACAATACGCTATTGCTTCCAAAATAGACAAGAAATATAGCACAAAAAAGGCACATATCCTAATAGTTATGCAGATTTTAACTGCAGAGTTCTTTGGCAGTTTTTAAATAGGGGTATCTGCATTTAGCAACCTGGAAATGGATGAAATATTAGGACCATAATTAAGAACCATAAGCGGTAAATACCCATATGATGTACTGTAGCGTTAAGTGTATTTTCTGTTTTTAGCCCAAAAACTGGAAATATTTTGATAACATTTAAAGTAATAAGAAAAGAAAGAGAAGAATAGAAATAGACACTTAATGGAGAAATGGAAGTATTATACAACTGGAGAAGAATAGGTAACTGTATATGCAAAGAAGTTCTTGTCCTGCTCCTTCAATCCTGAAACTTTTCAGTTTTAAAACCAGATTCTTAGATAGTCAGATTTTAAGTTCAGTACTTATCAAGAATAAAGAAATAAATCTGGATTTATTACTATTATCATTAAGACAATCAACTCCCAATGACATTGCAATCTGTCTTTGGTCCTTGAAAAATGTAATTTTATAATAAACTGGGCTCGAGTATATTATTTAAGAGGAATTAATAATAATATGCTTTCCACCATGCCTTTCACTCAAAAGTGAATGAATAGCTGTTTTTATTAAATGTGTGTGTGTGTGTGTGTGTGTGTGTGCGCGCGCGCGCGCGCGCATTTTTGGGATTAGGGCATGACATAAAAATTATAAAGCAATATATTAAGGAACAAGTATGCATGGAGACACATATATTTTAGATTTTTTACTGTTCGGTTTGGAAGCTAAAACTTCAAAATGTATTGCAGATGCCGAAGAATATGGTTTAATATATAATTTATATTTAATATATGACCATCTTCTAATCAACAAGAAAAAGACTGGACTTCTTTCTTTTTCCCTCTGTGTGAATGCTGCATGATATTACATGAATTCTAGCATCTGTTAAATAAATATGAAAACATTATAACAGTTCTAAATAGAGGCAATGTTCTGAAGAGAGTATTTAATATCTAGCATGATCTAAGCAGAAAATGTGCACAGACACTGAAATTGGAAGTAGCCAAGGTGAAAAAAGAGAGAGACAATTATTCTTAATAAGACTTAAATGAAAAAAAAAAATCCTCGGGAACTATTGTTATGCCTAACCCAGTATTTTTCAAACCTTAGCAATTTTATGACGAGTGGATTTCAACTTCCAGAATTTCTCCTTCCAGTCATTCTGTCTGGGGAATTCTGGGAGTTGAAGTCCACACATTTTAAAGTTGCTAAGTTGAGAAACACTAGGCAAACACAGTGACCCAAAAGAACTATAGAAACTATGGAAAAAATGTTACTGAGAGAAAATGTCTAATTTCTATAGGTAGAATTACATTGTTAGGATATTAATTTGGGAACATTTTCAACAGTAGCTTACCACTGCAGGTGGAAGACGTGATGTTGTACAGAAATGGATAGAACTGCAAACAACGGATCAGCTTCAGGTTCCTCTCACACTCCAGACATTTGGTGGCAATATCTAGAGCATTTCTGAAAACCTGTAAGGCCCCACTGACATTCTTCAAAGCCAAATAGGCATTTCCTAAGCTCAAAAAAGTCAGAGGCTAAAAGGAGAAAAACAAACTTTTCTCAGTATAGAAACATGGGAAGGGCAGAATTTCACTTGCATAGACTAATTATGTAGTTTTAGCTTTTTCAAAAGAGATTTAGGAACAACCTCCCCCCCCATCCCAATCTTTTAAAAACTTTTCTACTGCTAAGCGGTAAAAAGAACTGGAATTTTTACAGTAATTACTTTCCTGGGCATTCTTTTTTAAATAAAATAATTTAGGCTAGCTATATAAAATCTTATATGAACACAACTTTAATTTCAAATGAAGACCAAAAATATGGAGTGGCAAATTAATAGGATGAGAAGGAAACAAACAGATTCTCTGTACTACAGTGAGATTATACAAGCCATCTAGTTGTTATTGAATATATTTCTTGGATCCTAAGTACAGTTCATAAACCATCTTTAATTCTAATCCTTCCAGGGAATCTGAGACCTTCTGGACAACAAGGAAACAAGTCAAAATTAGAAAATAGCTACTTTCATCTTATGTATTTAAAATGTATTTTTCATAGTTTTCCTGGCTTATACAAGATAAGAAGTAACAGCCTAGTACAAAATAGTACAAAAACCTGCTTTTCAAAGTTTGAATAAAAGGAGTACTCCCACATTTCCATTGGCAACTCTTATGAAAGAACAAAAGTGGGGACAAGAAATCTTGCTTTTCTTCTCTGAGAAAAATCACTCACCTCAGAATCATTGATGGCTAAAGCTTTGTGGAGAAGCTTGCTGGCATCTAGGTGAAGGCCATAATGAATGAGAAGGTTTGCTAGGTTGACTAAAGGGATATCTTGAAATTCATGAGGGGTCAAGTTAAATGCTTTTCGTAAGCAGGTGAAGGCAAAGGTGCCATTTCCAAGTGCACGCCAATAAAGGCTAGCCTCATTGAGTACCAGCCATAAGGGTTCCCTTGCCTAAAAGTCAATTAAAAAAAGAAAAAAAGAGGAAATACCCCCTTATTAATTACACTCTATTAGTTGCAGTGTTTACCCTTTGTCAATCTAGCTGCAAATACAGGTCTAAAGCATTTCCATTAATACCAAAATGACATGCTTGCAAAAAAAAGTTAAGTATAAAGCATTTCATTTACAAAAGGACCAGTATTCTTGCATAACCTGTCTAGATGTTAGGAAAAAAATAAAGCACTGTATTTGAGAAATATCACTGCAATGGAGATAAACCCTACTAGAATATTCTGACACTGAAGTGATAAATTCTGCAGAAGTACAACACCATCTGACTCATATTCTTGAAGCGTGCCAAAAAAGTAACTATAGATCAACATTTCCCTTTCCTCATGTAAAATAATAGCTATGTCCCAGGTTCAATTCTCTTTTCAATTCTAACATTGGTTTTTAATTTTAAAAAATCCATGCTTTCATGCTAATGAAAGGCTAAATGGTCATAACCCAAAATCTTAGTACACTTTAAGAACCCAGAAGTAACGATGGCAGTGACTTTGCAGATTATTTACTCCAACTTCCTGCTCAGTGCAGGAATCCACTAGTACAGCATCCCTGATTTCTGGTTTAGAAAGTACAATGGCAACCTCCCTCAGATTTGACTGACTTATATGAATAAAAAAAATGTTCTATTATAAAGCTGACACAATACAGCTGCATTTTCAAAACATATCCGATAAAGTTTTTCATCAAAGGCTTTTCAGCAAATTCGAGTTATGGAATTTATATTTATTTATTTATTTATAATTTAATTTATACCCCGCCCTTCTCCTCATGGGACTCAGGGCGGCTAACAGCCTCATAAAAACTACAGGACTTTTATTTAATGGACTATTAACTGGTTAAATGTGGAAGTCAAGAATAATTTTCTTTAGGATCTATGCTTGACTTATGCTTTTTAACTTGTTCATAAGTTATGGGAATGTAGAAATCACCAATAAATAAGTAAGTTTGGAAATGACAGCAGAATATTCAGAGTATAAAAACCTGAAGTGATTGTGATACAGAATCCCTCTTTAAATTGGATGATTAATCAAACAACAAATAAGGTTCAATTTAAATAAATGTAAACATATGCATATTAGTGCAAAATTTGCTCTGATGGACACAGTTCTTTAATCTCACATATATACTGTACATATAGAGGGGATTTGAGCTTGTACCTTTGTTTGTACCTAACTAGGAAAAAAAAAAGATAATAAATACATCAATGAAGACAACAGTTCAATATGCAGTGGTTGTACATTTCATGCAGGGGATGGAAATATACTAAAATAAAACTGCCAACATTTTCTTACATAATTCTATCATACATCAGAACCTGGAACATTGTGTACATTATGGTCCTTACTTGAAACAGATGTAAAAAAGGGGCTGAAAAAGACCAGAGGACAAGGAAAATCCTAAGACTGAAGTATATTAAACACAAATACACTTTGTTGGCATGAAGTTCAGAACAGCAAAGTAAATTGTTTTGCATAAACATTCTTGCAATTGCTACTAAGTCAGTAATCAACATCCTGTACTGCTTTTACAAGGAAGTTTACATATCAATAAATCACACCATTAATTAAAAAAAAACCCAAAGGCTTTCTTATAATAGAGCTCACCTTTAAAATGGCATGATAGATGAACGATCCTATTTGCTGTTGTGTAAGTGAGTGATTGTTGACACGAGAATATAAGATCTGCATGAAAAATTGTTTAAAACCAGAAAATATAAAAATCTTCTATTGAAAAAAAAAGCTTTTGTATAAATTACAGGACTAACACTGATTGAGAATCTTAAATGCTGTGGTGCTGGCCCTGACTCTTGTTAGCCTTTCACAAGAACTTAAACTAATAGTTTTGTCACTGGTCCTGAGATCTGGCAGTATGGTAGAGACTGTGCAATGCTTTATATGGATCTCTCTTTTGTTGTTGTTTGTTTTTTTGCCTTAGCTATATATTACATGTGGTTATAAAAACATTAATAAAAATGGGGTACAAATCTAATATTGCACAATATATATATGTCATTTTCTCTCATGCCCAATATAACATTCCATGCCTTATCCTCCCCCAAAACTTTAGTTACATCTAATTCTCATGGTGAATGGATGGCCAGAAGATGAAAAGATAATTATTATATAATGTAAAGTATATTAATATTAGGAGACTACTATAACTGATTGGTGGGTGATGGCAGCATAGCATTAAGGTTGAGTAAAGGGGTTTCAAATCAAGAGTTTCATTGTTCATAGGTCAATCCCTTAACCATCAGCAAAGTTTAAAACATTATACTTTATAGTAATACAAAGTGTAAATCACCACTGGCTCACAGTTTATTATAATCTTTTTACATATGGGATATGTCTCAATAGTTGCCTGTATCATGCAACAATTGAAAAATGCCAAAATCACCTTGAAAACAACAGAGGATTGCAATGCAGATAATTCTTTATCATCAACTAAAACACAAATTTTGCAATGATTTCCTTTCTTTAATAGTTCATCTATTTCTAAATTTGATTTTTATGTGGGGAGATTTACTTTTTTTAAACAATTTGTCAAGTTTGGAAGTATCTATTTATAAAACATGAACAATGTGCATGCCAACAAACTAACACATGTTCACAATCAATAAACTTACTTGTTTTGCATAATCATCTGGAATTCTTTCTGTTAGATCTAGATGACTGTTTAGTTGTTTGATCAAGAAATACACAGAGTCACTGTTAGGGATATCAGTAATGGAAGAACAATCTGGCTCATTAAATTCTGTCTGTGTGAGATCTTCTCCTGGATTGCCAAGTAATGAATGAATTCTAACAATCAAAACACAGTAGAATAACCACATGATTCAGACTGCAGTATAATAATCCCAGACAGCATAGCTAAATCCATGTGGGGAAACTAGCAGAGGCAGAACTTTTAATTACCAATAGTCAAGAGAGCAGTTTGACCTCTCCCATGAGGTCACATTATTAATGGCAAATTAAAAAAGATCATAAAATCTGTGTAATTGTTAAGACAGCAGTTTCATAATTGATGAAGATTCATAATTTCACAACTGTTTATTTCATGGTGCAGTTTGGGCTTTGTAGCAATGTAGAGTTTTTATATTTTATGATTACATTAAGATGTTTTAAACTATGCAATATAAACTGCTTCAAGTACAACAGAAAAGCAGATAAAATGCATTATTTTTACCTTTGACCCCTGTTTTCTGGGTGCAGGATATAAGTTGGCAATTCCTCTGGGGAAGGGATAGCTGGATACGTTTTTACACAATCTGATCTTTGAGGCCACATAATATTCTGCTTATCCTGATCAAAGAAAAAAAAATCATAAAGTAATTTTGTTAATCATCACATTTTAGAATATGATATTAATATAACAGGGAGCAAAATTTTCCACTTAAATGTGGCCAATGACAATGATTCCAATTTATTTAGATCAATCCCTGTTCCTAGCAGGCTAATGCTTTTCAAAGATCAAGCAGCAATTTACGAAGCTCTGAGCACCATTGTGGCTATAATTTTATTCTTATTTACATTACACATTACAGCAAATTTAATATATCTGAACTGGAAAGGAAACCCAGACTAACTGAAGTCTAATTATTGTAATACGTAGTTTATGCTCAAAATACTGTGCATATTATAAAAAGCTTTCACGATGTCCAGACCAGAAGAAAAGTAACATTGCTTGTTGTATCATTTACCCTATAATCATCAGCTTCCAAACCCCATAATGAGAATACAGAATGGACCCAAGGGGAGGACTCCAAGGAATGGCTGAAGTCACTACTGTTGACTTGAAGTTCAGAATTCACAGATGCCATTGTAGCAATCGAAGAATCACCACCAAACTGCAAACAGTAATATAGGAATGAGAATGAAGGATAGAACTGATACCTGAAGGACATTTAAAAAAAAAACACCATTCTTACAAAAATAATTTAACTAGATCCAATTTTGCTTGAAAATTCTGGAAAATTCACAAAACATCTAAACTAACAAATAATACACATGATTTTTGGGGTTGTTCTTGTATTAGCTTAAGATACAAAGAAATTCCTTATGCACATATATCACTTGATTTTTACATTTCCTGAAAACACTTGTTGAATGTAACAGAAACTGAAAGCAATACTTTATTTTTTTATTATTATACATATTCAAGGAGGGAACATATGTCTAGTAGAGGGTTGTGGATCTAGGAGCAGATAATCTTCTCCAACATTGCTTACTTCAATCAGGCAAAGAATTTGCTTCTGAAACCCCAAGAAGGAGAGGAAGATAAGTGCTAAAAAAGAAATGCTCACTCTTCTAGGCAATTGATAGCATTAAAGAATGGGGAATTTATTTATTTATTACTTACTTAAACTAATTATAGGGCATCACAATAAAATCTGAGTGATATACAACTCTCCAATCCATAATTTGGGGTTGAAATAATGATGGTGTGTAACTGTAAAACAGAACTGTTTTATTAAAAGTGATTTTTCTCTTTGTTTCAAAGCAATATTCAATAAATATTAATAGTATTTAATTTCTGTATTTCAAAAATGGATTGCTAGGAAGAAGTGGTGGATAGATGGAAATTTATTGAAGGCTTCAGATTGAGTATTATCTCTATAAAGTCAAGAGACAAGGAATGTGCTAGTATTTTACTTTTCTTTTCCAGAACTAAAAATATTGTGGGGGAAAAGAGAAGGAAGGAGTATTATGTATGTTTGCTGCCTTGGGTTACTTTTAAAGTAATAAAGTGTATGAGGGGAAATAAAAATCTAATAATAAAATAAAATAGGTAAAGTGATTTTAGCTTGGAATCTGTTCTTTACTTAAGCTTCAAGAAAGATACAGTCTTAGAAAGAAAAATGCCTATCTTCACTTGTCATGGAACTGTAGAATCTCCATTTTTTCATGAGTTAAAGGCAGGGGTAGTCAACCTTGGCTCTTTTATGACTCGTGGACTTCAACTCCCAGAATTCCTGAGCCAGCCATGCTCAGGAATTCTGGGAGTTGAAGTCCACGAGTCATAAAAGAGCCAAGGTTGACTACCCCTGGTTAAAGGCATGAGGCAATATATTTTTATAGAAAGTGGAAGTTTATGTCAGAAGACTCTCTGAAAAAGTCACTAGTTTCAAAAGGAATGATCAACATGCTTCATTTGGGCATAAAGAATTGAGAACTAGAAAAGATTATTTTCTCTAAGAGATTAAGCGCACATTAAAGAATACTATAGAATAATTCTATCAGATTCAGGTGTATGTTTGTAGTGCTCAGGTATCAAGTAGAGGATGGAACCTAGAGTTCAAATAGAGTTTTTGGGAGCAGGTTAGACACTGGCATTCCTAAATTTTGTTTAAAAGCCTTACTACTGGTAACTTCATGGAAAAAGATTAACCCCCCTTCCCCCCCCCATTTTTAGGCATCTCATGATGACTTTTGTTCACCTTTACAAATCATGGATCACAAATACAAATTCAATGTAGACAAACCTCAACATATTCAACATTTTCAAACATGTCAGCACGGTGATAACGGACTGGTTGGTCCCACTGGCAATGCAAGCTGTGCTGCTGATTGCCCAAACGACAAATCTGATGGTTTCCTGCAAGATATAAAAACACAGATGGATGGATGGATAGATAGTTAGACAGATAAAGAATATTTAGAAATATCTGTTTGGCAACAGCTATAACGAGCTACAGGACAAAAATCTTCAGCATAGTTTAGATTTCTCTGGAATTCTAAATAATTCAGAGAACTCCCGTTTTGAAAGTTTATAGATATGACTTTAGAGAGATGCCTTCTGTACAATGTAATTACCTATTTCAGAAGGAAGTCACAACTTAGAGGATGTTGCTACAAATAGTCCCCATGACCTTGCAAGGTGGCTTTCTGAGAATACAAGGACTTAATGCTTGAAATGAGATTCTGAAAGCCTTCATGTTTCTATGTTTATCTGAAAAGTAATGCTGACTTTGCTTAAATAAAACTGAACTTAACAATATGCATTTTTAAAAATCATGCTAACATTTATCTATGAAGTATTCTGCTCAATGTGTATTTGAATACAGAATACAGAAACCTTGGTTTTCCTGATACAGGAACGAATTGTTTATACAATGATGTGGGTGCATGTTTGAATGTTTCTTTATGAGCATTTATTATATAAACAGATACCTAATTGTGCCTCTTTTGCCATCTGTGTTTCATGGATAATATTTCTCAGGATCTGCTCTTCCTGAATCAGTTTGTGCTTTTCTAAGATTTCCTGCTGCCTCAAATAATGGTCATGTTGCTTCTGATATTCCTTCAATTCATTTAATGTTCGCTGAAGTGATCTTGAAAAGCAACAGAGAAAATTCCATTCAACTTGCTTTAAATTTAAATTAACTCTGGTACTAATTTTGATGTATTGTTTTACATTGTTGTTACTAGACCCAATTGTATATTACTTTTTAATTGCCTCAAAAATAACAATGTTAAAAGGAAAAGTAAACCAAGAAAAAAAACAAGAATGAATTTTAAATGTTTTTTTTTAAATAAGGTTATATGTTATTTTAAATCACAATAAAAATACAACTGATACAAGAATAGTCAAATACGATGTAAGGGCAGAAAGCCACTAGTTTTCCTCGGATGACTATAGAATGAAGAAAGGCCTACCTATGTTGAGCTTCAAGTTTCTGCTCAAGCTTTTGCTGGCATAGGACAGCATGCTTCCTTTTAATTGCTTGCTCAAACCCTGGCTTGGCCTGTAAAGCATGATCATAACATAAAACTGAGTGGTTGTATTCCCCAAGCATCTGAAAAAAGATTGAGAAGGAAAAAGGTTTGTCAGCTGAAATAAAGTTATAATAAACAAATCAGTTCTGAAATTTCATCTATCATCTTGATTTACTAATTTCACCATGTGGACTATACTGGAGATAAAATTATGGTTACTACATTATTAGTTCAGTAAGTTTTCTATTCCTCTTCCCTAATAGGATATAAATGATCTAACTTAAGACAGAATAATTGGTAAGAGTAAAACAATGCAATATGGTTATTCAGGAGAACTAAAATTAAAGTCTTATTTACTGCATATATGTTTCCTAAAGTATAATAGCTGGTGAAGACATCACTGTAATCCAGAGCAGCATGGACTACAATAGCTGCATCAGCAGAGAAATGTGCTCTGTGTAACACGTTTGCCAGATTTATCAGTGCAACATCTTTATTATGCCTGAAAGAGAAAAGACACAAATAATAATGATTATTTATGTTTTCTTTTTTTTCTAAATAGCTGATAGATTTCTAATTTATACAATAGAAGTAAAAAATAGTCTGAGACTATGGAAAAATGCATTTCACTCACATTTATAATGTTAACTATACACAAGGTTTGATATAAACTGCTGGTCCAATCCATTATGAAGGATTTATTTCAAACTGCAAATTGTATCCAAAGAGTACCTTTAAGCATGTGGTTTGAAGAACAGATATATTGTAGACAGGGTTACTAGTTTAATCTAATGCTAAAAAGTCAAACATTTAGCTAACACTTCCAATTAACAGCAGAATGAAAAATGCAGAATGAAAAATTAAGTACAAATGAATCTGTGGTATGTTTGCGTAGCTACATCTATCTGAATTATAATAATTTTAATAAAAAATTACCCTACTGGCAGAGTAAAGTAAGTTATATCATTTACGTTCTAGCCTAGGAAAGAAACATTTTGAAGTTAGTAGGACTGCACTTTCAGCTGCATTGAAAAGCAGCACTTTTGAGTAGATAGCATCTTGTGTAAATATCATGGCATATAATTTATATTCAATAATTTGGTTCAAAATAGCTGATAGCGTTACTGTACATCAGAAGTAGCTAATGAAGAAACAATTGAGCCAAACATAAATGAAGTACTACTATTTAAATGTGTATGCATTCATTTATTAATTTATATTACACTTTTCCTCCAGGATCTTAATATTTATTTCCTCCAACTGAAACTGAACAAGGGTAAACAGTAATAGTATACATAATTGCTGGAACCTTGCGTGGAAGTGACCACATCATACTGGAATTTAATATAATGGAAACACTAGCAACAGAAAACAATCCAACCAGTGTCTTGAACTTCAAAAGAACTGACTTAAAGAAATTCAGAGAGAACCTAGGAAAGATCCCATGGATGAAAATCCTAATGGGGAAAACAACCCAAGAAGAGTGGAAAACTCTGAAAAATGCTATCATAAAAGCTCATACCAGCACAATACCACTGAAAAAGAAAAACAAGAAATTCAAGAAGAAACCAGCATGGCTGCACAAAGATCTCTCTGACAAACTGAAAGACAAAAAGGACAAATTCAAAAAATGGAAAGAGGGGCACATAACTAAGGCCAATTATTAGCAGACAGCCAAAACATGCAAAGATGAAGTCAGGAAAGCAAAGGCTCAGAATGAACAAAAACGTGCAACAGAAATCAAGGATAATAAAAAAAGTTTCTTTCAACATATTAATAACAATAAAAAGTCAAGGAAACTGTAGGTCCACTAAAGAGAGAAGATGGCAAGGAAATAACAGGCAACAGGGAGAAAGCAGAGCTGCTTAACTCATACTTTGCATCAGTCTTCACACAAAAAGAAACTATAACCCAACATACCAAAAAAAAAAACACCACTGCAAAAGACAAATTAGAAACAAAAATTAAAATAAGCAAGAAAATGATAAGAGAACACCTATCCGACCTTGAGGAATATAAATCACTGAGGCCTGACAGATTACATCCCAGAGTTCTGAAGCAGCTGGTAGATGTTATCTCAGAACCATTGCACCACATCTTTCAAAAATCCTGGAGCACTGGGGAAGTACCTGAGGATTGGAAAAGGGCTGATGTGGTTCCCATCTTCAAGAAAGGAAAAAAAACGGACCCAGAAAACTACAGACCAATCAGTTTAACATCAATACCTGGGAAGAACCTAGAAAAGATAATCAAAAACAGATCTGCAAACAACTAGAAGCAAACAAAGTTATAACTAGTAGCCAGCACAGGCTTGTTGAAAACAGATCATGCCAAACCAATCTTACTTCATTCTTCAACAAAGTGACTAAACTAATAGACCAGCGAAATAGTGTGGACTTAAGACTTCAGTAACGCATTTGATAAAGTAGATCACAACCTACTCCTTGGTAAGCTAGAAAAAGGTGGAATAGACAGCATCACCACCAGATGGATCTGTAGCTGCCTGACAAACCATACTCAAAGAGTAGTCCTCAACGGCACTACATCCACATAAAGAGAAGTAAGCAGTGGGGTACCATCTTAGGCCCAGTACTCTTCAATATCTTCATCAATGACTTAGATGAGAGAATTGAAGGGGAACTCATCAAATTTGCAGATGACACCAAACTGGCAGGTGTAGCCAACACCCCAGAAAACAAACTCAAGATCTAAAAAGATCTTGACAAACTTGAACAATGGGCCCTATCCAACAAAATGAGTTTCAACGTGGAGAAAAGTTTTACATTTAAAACTTTTAAAATCAAAAGTACAAGTACAGACTGGGCAAGACATGGCTTAAAAACAGTAACTGTGAGAGGGACTTTGGAGTCCTAGTGGACGATCACTTAACCATGAGCAAGCAATGTGCAGTACCAGGCAAAAAAGCCAATACAATCCTGGGTTGTATAAACAGAGGCACAGAATCAAGATCATGCAAGGTATTAGTACCGCTTTATAAAACCCTAGTAAGACCACGCCTGGAATATTGAGCCAATTTTGGTCACCATATCACAAAAAAGATGTTGAGAGTTTGGAAAAAATTGAAAAAAGAGCAACTAAGATAATCAAAGGCCTGGAGACTAAAACATACGAAGAATGGCTGCAAGACTTGGGTTTGGCTAGTCTAAAGAAAAGAAGAAATAGGGAAGACATAATAGCAGTATTCCAGTATTTGAGGGGCTGCCACAAAGAAGAGGGAGTCACGTTATTAACCAAAGCACCTGAGGGCAGGACAAGAAACAGTGGTTGGAAACTGATCAAAGAGAGAAGCAACCTAGAATTAAGGAGAAACTTCCTGACAGTGAGGACAATTAACCAGTGGAACAGTTTACCTCCAGAAATCGTGGGCCCTCCATCACTGGAGATTTTTAAGAAGAGACTAGACAGTCACTTGTCTGAGATGGTATAGGTTCTCCTGCTTGAGCAGGACTGGACTAGAAGACCTCCACAGTCCCTTCCAACTCTATTCTATTCTAATTAGCCATCAGCCCTGAAATTTTCAGATTCCCCATTCATATTGTATTTCAGAAATTAAATTACATCAAGGCCTCATAATGATAAGTTAGTACATGAAAGCCCATATCCTATGATATAACTGCATTTTCTTATCAACCCTAAGTGAAAGCATAGCCATTTAACTTAATTTGCATATTATATGTTTATTCTATTATGTTGCTAGTAAACCTATCTATCTTAATCTATCTTCCTCATATGTATCTTACCTTGTAGAAAAATGGAGAGCTCGCATTGCACATTCTACTACTTGATATGGGTCATTCTTTATTCTCCAATAGAAGGAAGCCATATTGTATAAAACCCAAGAAGATGAATTCTGTAAGAGGAATAATACATGTGGAAAGAAATGATGTTATTTTAAATAAATATGGCCCCAAACAGATTTAAAACATAATTTCATGTTTATAATCTTTATGTATATGACCATAACTTTGTTGGGAATTATTTTTTTCCTCCAAATATTTTTCAGGTATTATACTGTTGTATGTATGTTCTGCATCAGACCTTTTAAACAGAGTAAGAAAATTTTTGGAAGCTGCACTTTGTGAGGAGACTGACAATTGCAAACTGGAGGGAACTACATCACATACACCAATACATGTTAGGCTTTGGGGGAGGACTTATTTTATAACTGGGATATGCCTTCTTTAAGTGTTATTCCATTCTCTTCATAAATTTCCCATCTCAAAATGATGGGAAACTGTACTGTCAATTTTCAGCAGTCATGGTTAGAAGAAGCAAATAAGGTTTCAGAAAGATGAATCAGGCCTCCAGCTGCCCTGGCCTGCAAAACCGCTTGACTTTGTTCTAGATGATGCTGATTTAGACAGGACAGCAAAAGTAGTGATTGTATTAATACCTTCAAGAGACCTTCGTATATGCGATGTCCTATCTCTTCTATACTTCTTCCTAATCGTCTTGATAGGTAATTCAATACAGGATCTTCTTTAGGTAACAAAGGTGCAGAAAGATTAACTCTTTCTTGAATACCCTAGATGAAAAGAGGAAAAGTATTAGCATTTGAATTCTTAAGATGGTTTGCCTTTTTGAAAAAATAATCCACCAAATTGTATGTCCCCTTAAACCTAATTAGACTTTATGGCGTAACTGTGCATATATAATATTTCTCAAGGTGTAATAGGTTTCATTTTGAGCTGTGCAATTCTTATTAATAAAGTCATATTCTTTATAGAAAACCCAATAAACCAGGCAATACCATTCAATAGAATTTGGTTATTGCTTCACCATATTTAGCTTCCCTGCCTGTATTCTAACAAAAGATATAATAGCTTTGAAAAGGTAACTATTAAAATTTGGACAGCAAATTTATTCTAGTGGTTAAAGTTCTGGACTAGCAGGGAAACCTGAGTTCTAGTACTGCCTTAGTCCTGAAAGCCAGCTAGGTGACCTTAGACCAATCGCTCTCTCTCTCAGCCCTAAGAAGGCAGTAGCAAACCACTTAAAAAAAATACTGTTAAACAAATACCATTAAGTCATTAAGTTAGGCAACCTCCAAGTCGCTGGCAGGCAGATAAGTTGCTGCTGCTGGGTTGGGATGGGAGTGAGGAGGTGCAGAGGAGAGTGCACAAGGAAGTGTGAAAGAGGCACTGCATGGAAGGGTGCATGATGGGGGTTAGGGTGCGCAACGGAGTGTACAAGAGGCACAGTGCAAGTCAGAAAGAGCATGCAGGGGTGCACGACTGGCCAGCATAGTATGAGTGCAGAGGGGCTGGAGGAGGTATTCAGGTGGGAGAGAGAAACTTAACCCAGCAACTTGCCATCTTCCCTATTGGGGAATACATGTGAGAAGCTGGCAGGGAATGTCACAAAGGGTGATCATGTGATCATGGGGCGCTTCAAGTGTGAACCAGTTGCCAAGAGCCCAGATTGCAATCGTGATTGTGGGGATGCTGCAATGGTTGGTACTCTGAGGAGCAGTTGTAACCATCGTTTGTTTAAAGTTGTCACAACTTCAGTTGCTGAATGAATGTTCATGGTTCGAAGCCTATCTATAGCTACTTTAAATGATCACTTGTAACCCTTCCCAAAAATATCATGAAAAGTACCCAGATGCAACCATTAATGCCGCATCTTGATAAACAGTACATGGTTTTATCAAATAACTTTAAAAGCATTTTAAATATATTTACATTACAGTCTGCATTGGTTTAATACATTGGATCTTTGGAGCTTTTTAAGTTGCTGCTTAAAAATAAGAGTTTATGGGGTAATTATTTTTATTACGCTTGAAAATTAGTTGCCTTGGTAGGGGTGAACTGGTCTGAAATGTAATTTAGAAATTTTTCAAATGATAGATACAGTGCATGTCTACTCAGAAGTAAGGCGCACTGACTTTAACTAGTTTAAGTGGACATAATATGACAGTCACAACGACAACTAGAAAATCTAGTTGTCCACATCAAATTATGATTTCTTTGCCAAAGTGGCAAAGATTTTAAAATATACAGATCTTAAAATATTCATACTCTCATACAGACAAATGTTTGCATGCACCTTGCTGGAATTCAGTTACTGAACTGAAATACTCATAGCAGAAATGAAATACAAGGCATAGAAAAAACATGGAAAATAATAGCCCTGGCTTGATGTGCTAAATACCTAATGATATTAGGTAACTAAGTTCATTCACATGGAACCATGATTCCAAGAAATCATGTTTCAAAGCAGAAAAGCCTTAAAATGTAGGCTTATTATTCTATATGAATGCATTGCTCCTTCAATAATTCAGGAGGATATAAAGTTAACTGTGTTTATGCATAGGAGTTTTTACAAGCATACAAAAACCAAGATAAGATTGAAAATACAACACAATACAAAAAAAATAGGTAGAATAGTTTTTTAAACAAAGAGAATTAAAGATCTGCAGCATCAAAACAGTTGTGATTTCTGAATTCTCTTTTACTGGGCTAATAACATGACTGTAAACTTCTCAATCTGCAGTATTTAAAATACTAATATAACCAATTACTTACTCGTAAATGCTGAAATGCATGAATGCTGTACGGTAGATCTAAAATTTTAGTACATTCTGGTTCTTCTAGGTCTAGAGGTAAAGGAGACTTTGTGTCTACATAATCTTCAAGACTAAAGCATAAGAACAAATAAATAAATAACAGAGTTTTGGTGCAACAAAAAAATTACAAAATACTAATTAGGAAAAGCAATGTGGGAATACTGCCAAAAATAACTCTACTAAAACATATTTTTCTATAGCACGTCACTGTTCATTCTTCCATCTCCCAAAACAGCTGTAATTAACATGAAAACCAATTATCCAAGCAGCTTGTTACTAGCTAGGGATTGATTTAGATTCCTTCTAAATTACAGCTTTTCTACTTTTTTTTTTTTTACACAATTAGCTTTCTTAGTACCTGATGTCTTTGCTCTCTAAGGTGATATATGTGCCATCATAGAGATCCAAATCCCCCAAGGGCACCTTTGCTTTAATACAGTCAGGATCTTCTTTATTATGCCTTTGTTCCAATCCTGTATCTCTGTCTTCATTCTCCTCTATATGGATCTTCTGAGCTACTAATTGTTTCTACAAAAACAAAACAAAACCCCCAAATAAAATAAAATGCATGGTTCAAAATACAAATATCACCAAAAATACATATTCATTTTCTATGAAAATGACATGGCAATTGTCTCTTGTTCCTTAACTTCAAGGTGTACAGGGATAATGCACAGTGATATTACTAGGAGTTAGTGATCTGAAACTTACTTATCTGCCTATTTTATGAGGTTGGGAACGGTTAGGATTGTAAGAGTTAAAACGGAAGTATTAAGTCTTAGGTTCACTTTAATTTTTTTTTTTTGAAGAAAAAAATTGCCAAAGATACTGCTGCTGAAAATTAAGATATTTTGCACCTAACCATACCATCAAAAACCAGCAACTGAATTGGCTTATTATTTTTTAAAAGTAATTTTCTGCTTATTTGATACATGTGCACGAGGAAGAACATTAAGGGTAAAAGTCATCACCCTTATTATACAACTACTAGTTCAAGGAGTTCAGTTAAACTCTCAAAAAGGACATGCGTTAGCTTGGATGACCAAAGTAACATAGTAGTAAACGTACACTACTAAAAATGTAGAACTGAGGCTAAAACTTCCAGACTCAATATTTTTAAGACTACAAATTCATATTGACAAAGAAAATTATTGTTTCCTACTTTTGTTTGCCAAAAAGACGATTTTGAAAATAAAACCATTGTACCAATCTCACCTCCAGCTCTTTGAGGTAGTTAACAGTTGTTTCTTGTCTCATTAATATTACTAAATCATGAGGATGTTTCAGATTCATTGGTGAGTCAACCTGCAATACAATCCAAAATAACCATTGTTATGATTTCTTCCTTCAAACTGTCTTTCTTGCATTCTTCTGAATAAACTATTCTAGCCTACTAAATCACACTGTAGCATCTTAAGAATGATGAACACATAGACCTGTATCAAGGACTACCTATATGCTGGATTGGATTTATATGCTTGGACTTATTTAAGCTTATGTTTAAGCTTAAGGATGGTTCCTATTTGGCTGAAAAAGATATGGTGAGTTCAATTTTGACACATTTTACATTTCTAGTTAGAAAATTGGTATTAAGCACAGTTCTGGACCTAACAAAGAATTGCAATTTACATAGCATTGAGGTTCTGACACTAGGAAACACACATTCCTTCTTCTTGTATCTTTTTGTCATTGTTATAAACTAGAAAAAATAGTAACTGAACAAATAAAATGCAAAATTCATATTCACAGATCTTTAAAGAATATTCTGGAAAGAGGGAAAAGAATTTCAGGTAATGTAAACTATGGTATGATCAAATTTTCCCTAACTGACCTGTTATTTAAAAGCAAAGAAAATTCTACTGCATAAAAGAGAACACTATTCAATGGGCATTGATAATAATAATAAAAAAATACAAACATGTGGGAGACTCATCTAAAACAGAGATTTAAAACACTTAAAATTAGATTACACTAGTTTTTCCTCCTCCTACCCTCCCCCCCTCCGCAGTGATACTTTAGCACCAAATGCAGCACTTATAATCCATAATCAAATGGAATCTATCTGTCACAAAAATGTGTAAGTTTCTGGTCACTGACTGGAACAAAAATATCTGTTCAGAAAGGAAACTGAACTCTTATTTGAATGTACTACAGAATAAAAGTACCATGCAAAATGTTTCAAATTAAAATATTTAGTGTTAGACACATCCTGTTTCTCCAGATAGAAAAAAAGCCAGATATTTTTTTTAATTTTAAGAGATGAAACAGGTGCATTAAAATTCTGCAGAGGTTCTGGCTCCCACTTACTGATTAATATCTTCCCCAAAGCCTGAACTTTGGGTCTACCCAGTCCAGAGAGCTGCAAAAATAGAGCTGCATGCAGTTCCTTGGCTGCAGATTGTGCACCTTTTATTACAAATATTCAGAGGTAAATTCCATTAAAAATTAAAAAAAATACTACAATGGATTCAAAAGCTTTAACTGTGTGAGAAATTAAATGTTCAGGAAGAATTAATTAGCGGGTACACTTGGCAGAGAGAAAAAAAGTTTAGTTTCAGAAGCATCTAATTTCTGATTTTTTTTAAATGCCACTAAAAATTCTGCAAGTTCTGCATTTAAATTATGGTACATTGTTTTTTTTCCAAGTGATCAACACTTCAGAGACAGAACAATTTTTTTTACCCAACAAGATTAAAAACGGAAGAAAAAAAGTTTCCATCCCCAAATGAAAACATGGGTTTGGGAACAAACAACACATGGATTAAATTTAAGTGAAGGGAATACAACTTCAGCTGCAGCACCTTCCTACTGTTTTTTTTAACAAGTGAGCTGCCCAAGGTCCTGAAGAAACAGCATAAAGGTCTTTTGGTAATGCATATTTAGAAGGAGAAACATTTCATGAGTATAAACTGATTGTTCACATGAAGAGCCTCAACTATTTTAACATGATAGATAGTATAGCTGAGGGAGAAAAGTATGAGAAAAGAAAAATTCAGCTATGGAACAAGGAATTGATATAGATTTCCACAGAGAACAAGGGAGGGAAACTAGCCTGTGCTTCAAGTAGTTATCAGCATACTTTATTAGCACACTTTCAGCTAACCCAGGGTGTCAAGCTCACAACGTCACGTGATGTGTTGCGACTTTTTTGCTGTTGCTGGCAATGGGGTGGGCGCGGTTTTGCTATGATGCTTCTGGCCCGCAGGCTGGCAGTTTGACACCCATGAGCTAATCCAACAGTCTCTCTCAAAATCATATATTTGTAGCATTAAAGAGGTATACATTTCATGTAACTTTTTTCCTAGATTTTCTTTTGTATTAAATAAATCCATATTTTATTGAGTCTTCAGAATTTTACACGTATCAGCCTTACTCTCAATTTCATTTACATACTATAAATTATATAAAAAATATGATTTCTTTTCCAAAGAGAAAATGTTGTATTAAATAGCAGTAACTTAGCCTTAAACTACAGTTGATACCTTTCAATGGATATTGGATATTGTATTCACCGAAATTCAAAAACTTGTGCAAATACCTATTTTTCAAAAAAGCTATATATTGCAATATTATTTTTAAGGCATTTAGAATCCAGATAAAAACACAATCGTTAGCTATTGAAATTATAGCAGTGATATTAGTATTTTCTTCTTAGGTAACTTTCACTTTTATACATGATGAAGAAATAAGTAGTTGCACAGCTTTAAAGGCTGCTCATTTTCTTACTACTTTAATTAACTCCATTGCTAGTACTATAGCTATTTCTATGCCATATTAAGCTTATGATCTATTCCATGCTTAATTAGAACAAAAATCTAAATCAGGGTGTGTATAATTTAATACATTTAACTTTGTATTTTCAAAATACCACAAGTCCAATTCAGCCATATTCCTAACTGAATATTAGGACAAGGTAATAAAATAGAGCAAATAAAAAATTGAACTGTACCATAGTAAATGGAGTACAAAACCCTTTCTTCCCTTAATAAAACAGTTTAAAGGATTAGGATTATAATAGTGTGATAACTATTGGAAAGTACCCTCTTTTTAAGACTATGTTGTGTACATGTTAAAAAAAAACCCTGGACATCAGTATAAATTCAAATTATTAACAGGTAATTTCTTCCATCCCGATTCTGGAAAAGGCCATCAGAAGATGCAAATATAAATCTAAATACTAAGAGACAATTTGGGGTTTTTTTTGAAGTGCATCATTCTGCTGATTTTACATTTAAAGAAATTTTAATATGTTTTTTGAAAAGATCTAATCTTAATTAAAACTATAAATCACTGGATGCCTAGCATATCTCTAAGGACACATTTTAAGGGTAATCCTTATCTTATCTTATTAACTTATTCTAAAAGATATATTAATCAAGTCAAGTGTTGCTTTCCCAACATATCACTCAAATTATAGTTAAATAATAATATTTTTTTTGCTTTCCTGACAGTATCATCCTGCTTTCAGCATGCTTTTATGTTCCTGAAAACAAGAAAAACGTGAATTCTTTTTCCACCTTAGACATGGAAGCCTAAGACTGGGTAAACTTGGGCGGGATACTTTCTCTCAGTCCAACCTCTGCCTCACAGGTCTGTTCTTGTGGGAATATAACAGGAGGAAGCACCACTTATGTATGTTGTCGCTTTGAGTTATTCATATAAAATAAAGGCAGGATAAAATTAATCTTAAAAAATATGTAGTGTCTAGTCATATTTTTTGAATTGTCTAATTAGGGTCTTCTAAGATCAGAAAACTGGCATCTACTTACCTGATCTATTTGACCAATCCCATATTCATGGACAAGTAAGTAGGAATGCATTTCCCGTATCTCATATCGTCTCCCATTATTTCCAGAGAAACCCAGAGACACTGTAAGTTTAGAAAGATAAAACCTAAGACCCTTGGGCTTGTAGAAGCCCAAGCAGGATAAATATCTTGCAAATTGAAGAGAAATCTTCCTTTTCACAGCTGTTACCTGCCTGTTGTCTGGAGAAATAAATGTGGTGTGAGTGTGTGCCGTGTAGCTGCTTCTGTTGTAGGATAAAGATTTCAGAAGATAACTTTTTTTAAAAAAAAAAAGAGGTAGGTTGAAATATGTTTTTATTTTTGTCAAGACAGAGTTTCAGGTAAACTCAGGTAAACCTTCATGAAGTCTTAGTTCTCCCTAAATCAAAAGTAATTCTTAAAAAAACAAACAAACAACAAAACACTCTATGCGGGAAACAGGACATATACTGCTTCAGAGGACAGCATACAATCTGATCAGCAAATGCTGCTTGCAAACATCTCCTGAGGAACGCCAACCTTCTTTCATCAACATATGTTCCTTTGAAATTTGCAATAAGCCAGAAAAACTCTGAAGAAAGGTTTCAGAAACTTTTTCCTCAACTCCAGCAAGCCTTTGATCCTTACACTTCCCAGTCAAATACAAAATAAAGCTCCACCTCTTTGGTCTGGCCTTAACACCCTGAAGCCAACAGAGTCTGCCAACACCACATTTATTGTGGAGGAGACTGATGATTATGTTTTTCCTTACCAGGGTTCTTAAAGAACTGAAATTAGTCAAGAGCTACAGTTCAAAATTACTATACAGCATTGTAGTCTCAGTCCAGAACGGTCAGGAAAAGTTATCTCAATGTTCTATGAGGCTGTGGGTATATCCTTTGGGCCCTTTTTATTATCTTTGGCCTAGATCCAGGCTGACAGACAACTTTTTGAATATTCTCTTCCATCTTTATATAAAATTCTGTTTCTTCTTTTAAAGTTTTATTAGTTTATAATATACAATAGAAATACAAAAGCAGATAGCGGAAAAGATGGGAAGGGAAAGGGAAGTAAAGAAGTGAGGTAAGGGAGAAAAAAAAGAAAAGGTATTGACTTCCGACTTGTGCAATAGAGTATCAACTTCAAATTTCAAATTCTGTTTCCAAATTGGACCATCCCTAGTTTTTACTTCAATTCTAAAGGAAGACATGCCCCTGCCTTTTTTTTTTCTTTTTTTTAAAAATTGGATTGCAGTTTGAGTTAATTTTCAAGTTAAAATTAATAGCATTTCTTGTATATTTGCCATTCTCTAAAAAATGCTTGAATACTTTTATCCCATGTGCTTTAAAATGTCAGCAAAAATTCTTTTCATTGGAAGGTAACATAAGTACAATGATTGGAGTTACTGATAAGCAAGTAGGAAAGCTTGTGACTAAAATATAAATTAAATTTCTGACTTTCTATATTCAACCATGAATTTTAAAAGTAACTAAACTTTGCAAGTTTAAATATGCCACTCATTATGTATAATAAAACAGATTTCATCTATCCCAGTTTTTGAGTTCCAGAATTACTGAGCAATTATGGCTTTTGCTGAGAATTTTGGAAAATAGTCCACTAATGAACAGAAAGATTGGATTGAGCAAAGTTGCAGTGTAATATATAAAAGAAAACAACAACCAAAGATTT